CTGGCTCTGTTTGTGGGGCTGTGCATTTAAGCAGAATCGTATCCCGAAGGGCAGAATCGATTTTCCGTGGCAGCCTGAAAGGACGCAATTCAGCTGGTTGCTCCTCCGAATATGCCTGATCGCTTAGTTTGCTCCCAGGGTTTAAATCACTTGGACCCCCAAAGTCCTTTTGACATGGAATCTTTGAGGGGGATATAGGGGAGGGGGCTATCCATGGATAAGCGCAGGATGACCCAAGGATAAGCCCTGAATCAGGCCTTTTTTAAAAGAGATAGCCCCCCCTCCCCATAGCCCTCCTGGGGGTCCATGATTTTGGATGACCCAGTTCCCCCCCTCCCCCTCACAGTTGAATCGGATCGACTCAGCTCCTGCGCAAAGCCGACATGCGATTTGCCAGCATCCCCTTGGCCTTGGGCTGACTCGAGCTGTGAGGTCCAAAATCCGAACATCATAGGCTCTGTGTCAGGGGCCGGGGGGAGAGGGGGAGAACAGCGCACCTCGCTGGTTACTTGATGTCCAAACAAGAGGTAAGGAAGGGGGTTGAATAAACAAGTTGAAGGGTTGGAAACACGGAAAACCAGGGCACACAAGTAGTATCCTGGGTTGAATCCTTGTTCGATACCCATTCCGAAAGGCTGCCGTTCATGGCTTCAACGTTTCAAACATGCACCCCCTGAGTCCTCCCAAAACAGGATTTTGAGAGCTCCTTTTCGAAACGGAAAGGGGGTTGGTTTCCTCACCAAAAGCCACCGGGAGATTCCTGGACTCGTTGTATGGCTGGAGCACGGGAACCTCCGATTTGCTTTGGGGAACTTGGCGCGGCTCTTGGAACAACCAGGGCCACCAATAACCAGAGGTGGTTGATGTAGGGAAGCTCCCTTTCAAGGGTAACTTTTTGGATGGGTTTATAGGGAAGCCAGAAGGAACATACACATTTCCATGGGTGGCTTTTTAGGGGAAATAGATGGTCCTGGTAGATGATTAAACCACCAGGTAAACCAGGAATCGCCATCTCTTTTTCAGCTAAAACAACCAACAAAAAGGACACCTATGCTATGCACATGTCTTTCTTTTGGTGGGGGGGGGTCCCCTGTTTTGAGCCAATCCCAGAAGTCCGGAGGAGAGAAATCAGATGTTGCTTGAGCTGAAAAAGTTGCAGAGCTAGTATAAGCGGCCAATGAGCACATGGTCTCACATTGATTCCGGCGGGATAGATTAGGTGGTGCCCTCCCTCATTGAATCCTCAAGGATGAGGCAAACATAAGGATCTGCGAGTTCCATCATCAGAGGCCTTGTCCGGTTTGGACGTCTACTGTCCACTTAGACTTGAAAACGGCTCCAAGCATCTGTTGGACAAACGGTGTATGAGTCGCAATCAAAACCTGGTATCAAAGTGGTCAATCCAAAGCCAAGCCAAGAACTAAAGTGCGGCCCACCAATGTGGCTACGATATTTGTTCTTGGAAACCCTGCAACACTGGTTGGTGGACCTAAACCCCAACATAAACGATGTCCACCAATGAGTCTAGAATGCACAGCCATGTCTGGTCCCTATTCAGTTGGTGCGTTGATGGCGCCACAACTCGACTCGACTGCTGACCAAAGACTCGGCGGCGCCTCAACCTCAGTGGCAGCTTGCAGGGCCTGAAGCCAAGTATAAAGAGCTTAAAGCCATGGTTGAGACACCCGGGCTGCCCGTTTTCAGACCCCCCGCGAAAAGCTTGGCTCACTTTCGGTGGGCTGACAACTCGGGAATTATTACGAAACGCTGACAGGCTAAAACGCGAAGGAACCGGATGGCGGGGAGCCACCAAGACAATGATGAATTAAATGTGTTTAGACAAGCTAACTTTAGACAACAGGTTGGCCCAGTCTTGCTTTCAAGCCCAACTTCGGGAGTACAAGACCTGGAAACCTGTAGACAGGTTTGAGGGTCGCACCGAGCAGGATGGGTGACCATGTCGACCCTATATGACATGGATCTGAGCAATCCGAGCAATGGTCAAGAGCCCTCAGGATTTGAAAAGTATTCCATACCCAGAGGGTCCAAGTATCTTGTAAGGAGGTACCTAGCCCCCTTTTTACCCCCTAAAAGCCATCCTCATGAGGTACTTGGACCCTCTGGGATAATCAGGTGATCCACTACAGGATCTTCACGGAGCTCTTTTTATGCGCATAGGACCTCACATAGGCAAATCACTCCGGCTGTGGCTTGCTTCAAACTGGCAAGCACAGGTGAGGACACCCTGGCTTATTTTTGCTTAAAGGTACATCAGTGGCAAAACGGCAGCATGTCCCCTGTTTTTGCAGAGACACACCGCATGTTGGGGACCCTTTAGGCAAAGGCAACGAGTCCAAGGCCGCCGAGGCTGACAGGAAGACATGGGCTGGGTCCTCTTTGTGGGGGAGCGAAACCAAAAGGAAACCAACCCTTCACGACGAAATGAGAATCAAACAAAAAAACTCGCAGTCAACCAGAGGTTGAACAGAGTAACCGATATGGAGACGCCCTCAAACTCCGAAATGGGAAAACCGGTTACCGCAAAACAGGATTTGTGTCTGGGGATCCTTGAACTGAGATTCGCTCTGTGGTCTTTACAGGAATTCACAAGGAAACCGTTCAGCGTTGCCCTCCCGTTTTTCCCGGTTCAACTCGTGCCCTGGTGACCGAACCTTTGGCAAAACTGCCTCCTTTCGTCGGAACTCTCCCCACGTGGGAGACCAGCTTGTTTTCAATGACTTGCGCTCCCAAGTCTTTTGCAACGCTTTTGGTCTCATGATGTCTGATGTTCAAAGCCGACACCCCCCTCCCCGGCGAATCCCAAGCCCTGCCGAGGGTCACTCAACGCTGCGTCCACCTCGAGGTCCCCGAAGGAGTCCCTACGGCGCTCCATGGCATCACAGGCCACGTCCGGCCGGTGTCTGGGACACCACAGGCACACCTCGCACTTGTCGAACTGAAGTTGCCTTTTCAGGGATAAAAAAGGCAGGCTGGACCTGTGCCAAAGGGACACCCCTTCTAACACCGATGCTTTGTAAGCTTACACGATCGAAATGTGTAAGCCCGAAGATCGTCCAATTGTAGAGGCCTCCACAAATGTGAAAAAACAGCCTTGCCGTGTGGATGAAAAACCCGTCGAACGAGGAGGGATTTCTGGCAGGATTCTTGAGTGGTGCCTCCTTGCTGACCCTGCAGCAGGCCTGAAGCGTGTGGGTCATAGCTACCCCTCGAACCAAGAGGGGGGGGGGGTCTCGCGTGTCTCGCCGTGGGGCTCGTGAGAGGCAAGGGCCTCTCAGTCCCCGATTTGGAGCCAGCTTTGGGCTGCGCGATGGCTCGTCAGCAACCAGTGCAAAGTTCGGCACCCTTCGCCGGGCTGATGGCAAAAGGGCTCTCAGCATGCACGCAAGCTTCAGCTTCGAACTTGTGATCTTCGACGTGGAAAAGCGCAGCCCGCAGGCAGGTTCTAGTTGGGCCATGGTACATCTCAACATTGCGGCAGCAACGGGAATATTGCAGCAAAATCACGTAAAGGCTCCCAAGACTAATGTCAGCCCAGCAAAAAAAAAAAAAACACATGCCCAGCTTGATATCAGGCGGTTGCCCCGGGCACCAGAGGTTGATTGATCCACTTGATCCTGGGTACAGAAAGCATACACGGGCCCACAAGGAGTCGTGACTTCTGCAATGTGTGGTTTGGCGCAAGGATGGCCGAGCTAGTACCATGAGCCTCATATATGCGGCCACTCTTTGTGACAATTGTTGGCATGTTCAAATGGCTGCTGTCAGAAGTACTTCTGCAGAGTCCGAACTTATCCATATTTGGTTATCTACTAGTTCTTCCGTTCTCGGTTCATTGATTTATTTGTCGGTTTATCTATTTGTTTGTATATGTGTATATGTGAAATGTATGTGTGTATTACATGTATATATATATATATATCCATATCAGGAGCCTCAAACAGCAACGAACATGCCATATTTAAGAAAAGCGCATGCGTTTCAAGGGAAACACCATGTTTTCAAATTTGAGGAGTTCAACATGTCTCTACAAGCCACAATTCAAATTCAACACACCATGCATGCATTCACATTGCCGGTGGCCCTCACCCGTCTTTACTTCACGGAGCGTTCAGTGCGTCAATTTTCCAGTGTTTGAATGTGGCCGACGGTATCTTGAAAATCCCCAATCGGGGAAGGCAGTGCCGCTTTGCCCCGACCAGCTTCAAACACCAAGAGCAAACACCTCATGGGCAAGATGGCGCTGGAAAACCCATAGAAACTCCACGGTTTACCACCGGGTTCCTACGAGTTTTCCACGATTTGGCTGCGGGTTGCTAAGCACGATGCCTTGATGAAACCCGATGTTCTTGGTTAAAGCTACAGGTAAATACGTGTTTCTACAGGTTTCCCCGGCTTTGCTGCAGGAACCTCCGTTGTGTCTCAACAAAGTTGCAACATCCAAATGCCGCAAACCCTGACTGGGGCTGATTGGAGCCCTGACGTGAGAACACAGGACTTTAGGAATTGCAAGACCCTCCGGCAGCAGATAACTTGGCTGGCTCAAAAAAAAACGGTACCAAAATGGAACCTTGGTAAGTGGAGACAGGGACCAAAACCCGCGTCACCCCTCCTGTTTAATTTTGAGCCACAGCCGCTTGAATTTCAGGTTGGGCTTGGAATCGGATGCCCCCACTCCAACTGGAGTCACCAGGTGCCTATTCCAGAGCAAGTCATGGAATACAAACTGCAGCTGCTTCCTACTCAAGGTGGCAAGGGGACGCTCAGAAGACAACTTAGAGGGTTTCCTCAAAAACACGATGTTTGTCAGTGTTATTTTGCAAAAGTACAACAGTTTGCAGGTGTTTGAAGCCCCTGTTATATATATATATATACATACGTATTTATGTATACATGTTACTATAATTACCGTGTATATAAAGAATGCCAGTGTGTGTGTGTGCCTGTGCTAGCCCACCCCCGAGCCCTCTCTGCTTCCCGGCTGGACCAGCCAAAGCTCCAACAGCCAAGGCGGCAAGTCTGCCTGTGCAACCCGAAAGCCGAAACTCGAGGCTTCCCTGGGAGTGTCGCTTTTGAGTTGGTACCCTTTTGGGGGCGTCGCACTACCCGGAAGATAGATGGCACAATTCGGACGTGTATTTTTGGGTAGATGGATCCAAAGTAGATGGCACAATGCGATTTTTGTTGTGCCATGTCGGGTAGAGCAAAGGGAAAACCAAGGGAACGTAGCGCGCATTTTTTATAGTCTACCATAAAACTAAGATAGTTCTGCAGACCGTAGTAGCAGCTCGATTATCTCCTACAGCCCACGATGGATCAACCCGAAAGGTTTCCCTCTTGGTAAGGGATCCACTTCACTTGCTTTAGATTTCGGGAGATCTACCGGTATCAATGTGAGGTCGTTTGAACTCCCGCCCATCGCAGGTTGGTGCTGTGACCATCCCCGGCTCCAAATCGTGTCTGTAGGAATTTGCCTGTCAACATGGGTTTCTTTGGGGCCCGGTTTCTTTGGGGTGCCCCCTTTGAAACATGCCAACAAGGCCATCCCCCAATTTGTTTTCTTGGAATCTATATAAATACCGATGTAGAGCGCCTTTCAGCGAGGTGGAGCCCATAGTTTTGAACCCAATCTTTTGCGTCCTACTTTTGCGTGGTCGGCTCATGGTCCAAGGGTCCCGCTTGCTTCTGGCGCCTTTCAGGATGCTTTCTGAAGCAGCCATCATTTTTGGCTGGGCCTGTCCGATACCCATCACTTCCCCCGGTGAGCACACCGCCCTCAAAACCTGGGCCTATGTCAGGATAGGTGCCCCCAACATGGCCGTGGTTCCTTTTTTCGGACCCCAAAATGGTGGTCTCCCTTTCAACCCTTTCGGCTTTCCTCCAAAAAAACCCAACAAGAACGGGTTGTCCTCAGCAAAAACCGAGCAACCCACCGAGTCCCACTCGGACACGGCTGCCGAACCTCCGGGCCTTGTGGCCTTCGAAGCTCTCGCCGGCGGATCCAGCGCAAGGAAAGCCTAAGGCGGCAGCACCGACGCCTTTAGCTCAGAGCACCCCCTGGGCCCAGCATAGATTTTCGGCCCAGGGCCATGGGCCATGTGCCATGAGCTCAGAAAACTTGCACCTGTGAGAGTTTGTTTTTGTTCGGCTCAGGGACACACTTGGGTCAGACTGAAACGGGGAAGAACGCCCTGTTGAGTTGCGGAACACCTTCGCAGCGTTTCACATGGGCATGCGCTTTTGGAGTCGGCGTGCCCTTGGAGTGGCAACCACCCCTTTTGGAGCCTGCCCTTAGCGACACAGCACGAGTCCGAATCTGCTGAGATCTTCACGAGTTCGACCAAAAGCTTTGGTCAAAAGCTGAGAGAGAGAGAGAGAGAGAGCGGCGCAACTTGACTCTCGGCTCCAAACGAAGGCCATACAAAGCCTATTTCGGACCCCAAAAATCGAGACGTTCGCAACGCCCTTTTAAAATAGAGGGAAAGAAGTGGTAATAGCACTTCCCGGAAGTGAGAAAGATCTCTGCACCAAATATAAAACTGTTTTCTGAGAGCCCAAGGAGTTTGACACCGGCATCCATTGGACACGGCTTGACAAACGCAAGCGACACGCCGTTTACATGAAATGAGAAGCTGCATTTCCTGGCCAGAGTTCTGGCACATGGGCATTATCCTATTGGTGTCCCAACACCGTCCAGCATGCAGAGCTCATGTTTGAGCTTTCAACATGCTCTGCCGCTCTCCTTTGCACCAGGGGTAAGCCCAAGACAAATACCAGCAAACACTACACACTTTCTCGCCAAAAAGCACCCCTTCAAGGTTGCTCCCAAAGCTGCAACCCGACGAATCAAAGAGCGCCCAACCCAGCCGGATTACCCTCGACTAACATGGAACCTGACTGGCTCCGTGAAGACATGAAGACGTGGTTACGTGGACAGGAGAGTAACTAGGCTTGAAATGGAAGCGGAATCAAAACTCCCACCCAAGGACCCCGGCTGGTTTTCCTGTAGGACGCCAGGAGCTGGTCGCAGCTCAGGTGGTGGTACCTTTCGGCCGGCCCGCGGCTCGCCGCTGGCCCGCGACGGCATGCATTGGGGTGAAGGTCAAAAGCATCCCTAAGGGAGGCCGTAATAAGCCTCGGTTGCTTTCTGCTCCTCTGCTAAAAGTTTCACTTCTAGTGGCTGAATGGAACACCCATTAGTTGGCAAAAAGAAGTTAAAGTCTTAACATCCAAGCAAAATGCACCAAAGAAGCCTCCAAGTGCCTTACCAAGGATTGGAGTGAGGCTTATCAGCTGGTGCCTAGCGCAAGGATGAAGCTTCACCCGACCTTGACATCTTTCGGATCTCCCAGGTCATCTGTGAAGCACTTGGCAAGTAGCGCATGGCTCAATGACGGCTGATCAGCAGAAATACAACACGCGTGTTGCGCCGTAAGCTGGCCGAGAAACCAGAATAAACCAACCGTGTCTAAGAAGTCGCCAAGGTCGGAAGCACTCAAACCTCAAACTCTGCCAGTCCGCAGCAGAAAAAAGAGAGAGGAAAACAAAAAACACACAGTTCATCACACACATCGGAAAAATATATATATATATATATCACCAGCTGTTTTTGCTGAAAGTTCAATGGACAAAGCTAGCACGACATTGTCAAAGCCGAAGTTGCAAGGAGCGGTATGACGGTATTGCCGGAATCAACCTGGAACAAGCACCAGAAGCAATAAACAAACACTACAAACAGAACCTCCACTAGTTACAGTGGATGGACAACATCCTGCACTAGCTGGTAGGTGGGTTTAGCCCACAATTCGTTGGGCTTCATCTAGTCAAACGCATGTGTCTCCTCAACCCCCAGTCAGCTTCCTTCCAATTGGTGGTTTGGATTGGTATTCCCACAAGCATCACAGAAGGTGAATAAACCCCGAATGATCAACCGCAGCCCTGATATGACATGATTCTGTTGAAGGCCCGCTTCCCTTGGTCCAAGCGGCCGCAGCTGCCACCACTTCGCCGGGAAGGCGAAGGTCAACGGCGTGGCCGTGTCTTCGCCCTACGAACAGCGGCGCTGACAAAGCGCGAGCGTGGCTTTCTCCCGGAACGAAAAAGACAAAGCATAACAAAAGAAACACAAAGCAACAACAGGAAAAGACAACTACAAAAACAAACAAAGAACAGAACACATATTGTAGGGAAACCTTTCCTCAGGGTCAGGCTTCATTCGACAACCCCCTTGTAGGAGAATCCCAACAGCTTGGTTTGCCATCCGATTGGGTAGTCACATCAAAGCAGGGGCTGACAGTCGTGCTTGGTTCTCGCGGCCTTGGCTGTCCCTCAGGGAGAACCCGCGACTTGAGGACTTTTTCCGCGCCTATGTGGTCATGGATCAAAATCACGTATTTCCAGTGAACATCCCAATCCCCACCAAAATAGACTAAAATTGGCGGTGCACCTACCCCACAATGGTACCATTGGTTTTGACCCACAGCCATGAGGATGTGTTAACACTGCGTGGGTGTATTTTTTATTTTTTTATTTTTACATCAGGGGACGCCTCTCCCTTGATGAAGCCCTCGGCAGTTGGTGCTATGGCCATGATTTTTAAGAGGGAACGTCAGTGGACAAGAATCCCACCTAAATGGGTGTGGCTCAAGATTAAACCAGAGGGGTTACGCAGGTTTTGGTCCATGTTTCCACTTGCCAGGGTTCCATTTTGGTACCGGTTGCTTGAGCCACAGCCAAATGATGTCCACCAAAGGTTTTGACGCCCTAGGTGTGCAGGTGAAGAATCTGAAGGCCTCAAGGGTGTTTTTGCAGTTTTCTGCGTGAAGACCAACACGCAATGCGTTTGAGGTTCCAGATTCAAGAGCTCATGTTATGTACATCCTCACGGGTACATGACAACTGTCCCTGATTAATTTGCGTTTGGGAGGGTGATTATGTTTTAATTCGCCGAAAGTTAGGAAGCAGTAGACGTGTCAGAAGCAGTCGACCGTTCTCAAGCTGGAAGCTGGCAACATGTCTGTAGACTGCAGCAAGTGGGTGTGATAAAGCAACGTCGCGACTGACGCTTCATCACACTCTCTCGCTGCAGTCTACACGTCGCCAGCTTCCAGCTTGAGCACGGCTGAATGCTTTTTTAGCAACCTTGGGCTTTATTTGGAAAATGGGATGTCAATATGATTGCGTTCCTTTTTGTACTTGCTTTTGGGGGGTCCGATATCTGTCTGCAGATCTGTGCAAGTTGCCAGAACTACTGTTTAACTTACCAACCTGAAATAATGAATCCACCGCACACAAGTAAGGAACTTTTAGCATGGGTGAGCTCGTTATACACCAGGTTAGCGCGTTTTAAATTGCCCGGAACATTGGCATAACATGAGCTCCATGGTTGTGGAGCATGGTCCTTGTGTTACCGAAGTGGGCCATGTAAGGACTTGCCAAGGACAATTGTTTACCAACGTTTCCCCGGAAGAACATGGGAAATCGCCCGGCTGGAAGTTTGGCAAGTTCCTAGAAATGTCCCTCCCATCTAGGAATGTTGAAACCGTCACATGACTACGTCCCTAGGGAAACTGCTTTCAACTAAACTTGGTGCGAGGCAAACTGAACTGGGTTGCTTTCTGCTCCCCTTTTAGTGGTTGAATTCGGACAACCCATTTGTTGGCAAGAAGTCAAAGTCCTAACATCCCTTGGCAAAAAGCACCAAAGAAGCCTCCAAGTGCCGTACCAAGGATTGGAGTGAGGCTCATGAGGCGCCTAGGACAAGGATGAAGCTTCACTTGACCTTGACATCTTTCGGATATCCCGGGTCATCTGTGATATCCAAAGTGAACACCATCCATCCCCTGGCTATTCCTCGCCTCCCGCTTGGCCGCGCCGCAGCGCACCGCCGGCGCGAGGCTCCAGCGCACCGTCGCAGTGTCTGCCACGTCGCCCAGGTGGCAAGTGCCGTCCTCGCAAAGGACCGGCAACAGCTCTGGAGCTGAGATCGAAAGGAGCCCAAAACCTCAGATCTGGGGAGTTTGAGCGAACAGATCGGCCGATGGGCCGATCAAAGAAGGCTTGGCAAAGCGAATCGGCGATGTATCCCATCTGCCTTGGTGGCGTTTCTACGGGAATGAACATGACAGCAACAAATTGGAGGGCGCGTGCAACATACATATATATATATATAGATATGATGCACAAATGGAGAGAGAGAGAGAGAGAACAAAACAAAAGGAGAAAGAGAAAGAGAAGAGAAAGAGAGGCAGAGAGTTGCCTCCATGCTGGGGCCAAACGGTCCTTCTGAAAGAGGGAAGCACACACAACCCTCACCCACAAAGAGCCATTGGAACTCATGTTCTAAATCCTCACTTGCAACAACTCGACTTGTTTTTCAATGTAGGCTTACGCTAGGCGAAACTTTAACAACGGTCGCTGGATGTCCTTGAGCTTCCCTTCAGAGCCGAAAAGGGTTATCTGAATGAACAAGAAAAAAACGCAATCCGCGCAACCGGGCTGCCCTCAGACCCCCTGCTGAAAGTTTAACTTTTAGTGGGTTAAATGGAAACTACCACTAAACACCAAAAATCTAAAAGGCTAAGGAACCGGATGGCTGGGAGCCACCGAGGCTGCACTTGGCAGCTTTTCTAATCTGCGATTCCCATGGATTGGGTCCGAAGAAAAACCGAAACTTCGAATCTAGTGGTCTATTCGAGGTTCCACTTCCACCCAGAATAGCTGTGCTCGATTCCCAAAGATTGGTTCGCGTGCGGACTTGCACTGTACAGTTCCAGTTGCCTTTAGAAGCGTCGACCTCTCCGCAAGCTCATGATGAAGCCCAAAGGGAGCTCCGATTCCCCCGACTCGGCCAAGCGAGTGCCACTTTCCAGTGATTCCAGTTACCACGGTGGTAGCCAAGGGCACCCTTTAGGAACCCAAAAAAGAAGGGCTGGTTACCCATTCCAGTGGCTCGCCTCGGATCCGCTGGGTTTCATTCCATAAGAAAACCGTCTTGGTGCCTGGGCCCCTTTCAAGAATTTGTTCACTGCAAGGAGAGCGTCACATCTAAGCTATGGTCATCTCTGGTAGCGGTGCGCGTGGCCTTCCTGAAGCTTAACCCCAGCGAGAAGTTCGCCTCTTGACACGTCTGAAAACGGGCTCCGAAAGAACCAGCTTGAGGCTTTTCCATTTCTCCGCAACGCCCGGCACCTGGTATGCTAGGGGAAATTAACCACTGGGCGGACTGCTCAGTGTTGGAATAAAATACAGCGGAACCATAAACAAGAGTCGTTTAGGGCTTGCTGACACCACACAACAAAAAACAAACACATACTTTCAGTGACTGTTTCCAAAACAACATGGGGTAAGACTAAAGGGCAAACTGGGCAAGGTGTTACAATACATTGGGCAATTGGCTTGCCGAATAATAGCCGCAAACCTGCCGAAACGCAAACAAGGGATCTTGTCTTAAGTTTCTCCAACGCCGGGTGACAAGCACATTTTGATCAACCTTAAGAACCATAAGCTGCCCAACGAAACGTCCCAGCCTGCAGCTCTTCGCGAGCTGCTTTTGCTGCAGGATACCTAGCATCCCGAATGTTCCGAACGCCCTTGGACATGTATCAAAGGCACCCTTGGTTATCTCGCAGAAGCTGTGGGTATGAACTTGGAAATTTGCCTCGCCTTCCCCTCTTGGCCCCCCGGATTTGAACGCAAGCAGCGCAATTCTTCGCAAACCTACAATAGATCCTCCATGGGAAGTTCATGAGTGAGCTCATCGAATTCTAATTGGATGCAACACCACACCTGGATGCGTTCCAACATCGTTCGGTCGTTGGAGGTTCTCGGATCTGTTCCGCCTGTTGTGCTCTGGAGCTCCGATTTGGTTTAACCGGCAATCAAAAGGAAAGTACCCCATTTGAAGAGAGGGTCTGCATTCCGGGGCCTTAGATGAACTCCGCCAGTCAGCCGTTTCCGCTTTTCCGCCGATTTGGCCAGCCAGCCGCGAGCTTTGGCTGGCTCACTCGACCGGCCCAGCGCTGGCTGGCGGGGCTGGCTGATTCCGCCGGCTTGGTTTTGGCTGTCTCCGGATGTCACGCTCGTCCTCCATGCATCGGCTTCAAAGCGTCTGGTGCACCAGGTGCGCCCATCCATACTCGACTGCGTTGCCAACCTGACAGGGCTGGGACAGGCAAGCTGTGTGGAGCTTTGCACAATCTTGCAACAGGCTTAACGTGAGTTGAAAATGTGGCCAGGCGGTAAACGGCAAGCGCCATGTCCGGGCTGGGACGCATCTCGCTCTTGACTGCAAAAAGTGCACATCTTGGATTGGTTCACGTAGTGAACTCCGCTGTTCTTGGCCTGGGCCTCTGAGAAAGAAGTCTGATATACCTTGGGCACTCACAATTTCACAACGACTTTCTGAAGCCGCGCAGTACCGTCACAGCAAACGGCGCTGCCCTTTCTGATCTCTTCCTGACGAGATGAGGCTGGCATGGCGAAGACTTTGCGCATCAAACAATGAATTGCGTGACAGGCGCGGCGCAACAAAAACAACTCTGCTTGGACGGGGTGGAAGACAAGGTGCTGCCAGCGCAGGCACGTCCAACACGGCCTTGCTCGCGAAGCGGACCAGGCTGGATTTTCTGTCACCTGCATTGAGGCCGCGGAGATGCCCGCCACAGTCATGGGACTCGGTCTCGAACTCTCATAGGCGCGAGCCCGGGTTTTGACAGTACGCCATCGGTGCAGCGTTTCCCACGCCGCCTGGCTGAGTATGCGAATTGCGTGGTAGATTTGTCGCTGCTGGCGATTTCCTGGCGGACACGGCAAGCCACGCGAGCCGGGCAGGTGTGCTTGTGTCATGTGTGATGCTTGCATGAGACGAACCGCTGATGCGGACATGACTGCTCTATACTGCTCTTATCTCAGCAGGTCCTGCCCCTGCCCAGCAGTGACTGCTTGAACCTGCCCGGACGCTCATGAGACTTTGTCCGCGTGCGTCGCAGGAGCACAACACAGTACAGTGCCATCAGGGAGCATGTCCTTGTTGTACTGCTACGATAACACGCAGCCCGCCCTTTTCTGTCAGGATCTTCCCCTGCCTCGCCCTTTTCCTTGCCAGGTTCAAGCAGCGCAGACCATCCCACACATGCAGCGCCAGCCTGCCCCGGGTTGGCTGTCTTGCGGGCTGCACGGTCCGCGTTGCCCTGGCGCTTTGCCTGCTTGATTTGCGACAGGCTCCGGCTGACGCGAGCGAACGTAAATCAGGCCTGTGCTGCGAATTGTTGCAGCCACACGCTGATTGCCGCAAACAGGCCGCGCAGTACTCTCAGGCGACCACACCAAGAGCCCACCCAGCCTTCAGATTCCTCTTCAAGAAAGGCCACAGAGGAGAACAGCTACCCGATGAGGACCCAGTGGGCTCACAGGACTGGCAGACCGCAACATGCGTACGAAAATGAGGTGCAGAGCGCCGTGCTGTCATGGCTGAGCAGCCTTGGCACGCAGCTTCCTGGCTTGCTCCCAATCCCCCGCTCCTCTTCTATAATCGCGCGTCTCTCTCCTTGATCTTCTCTTTCGTACCCGCGCGCTCCCCCTTTATCCAGACATCTCTTCTATAATCGCTCGTCTCTTTCCTTGATCAAACTGTTCTTTCGTTGCCGGACTGTCCTTCCAAATCCAGACTTTCTCTTCTATAATCGGACTGCGCTTTTGTGTTTAAACACTCCTTCCATGTTCATGCTCTTCTGCATCCCTTTCCTTGATCAAACTCGTCTTTCGTTGTCGAGCTCTCCCTCCATATCCATGTTCACCTTCCATGTTCATGCTCCTCTTCTAGAACCGCTCATCTCTTTCCTTGATCGAGCAGCTCTTTCAAACCTCGTTGCCGAACTTTCCTTCCAAATCCTTCTATAATCGGACTGCTCTTTTGTATTCAAACACTCCTTCCGTATTCACGCTCCTCTTCTACAATCGCGCATCTCTCGCCTTGATCGGGCTTCTCTTTCATATCCGGGCTTCTTTCGTTGCCAGACCTCGCTTCCAAATCCAAACTTCTCTTGTATTATCGGACTGCTGTTTTATAATCAAAACCTCCTTCCATGTTCATGCTCTTCTGCTATCATCGCGCATCTCTTTCCTTGACCGAACCGACTCTCCTTTCATATCCAAACTTCTCTTCTATGATCGCGCATCTCCTGGTCAGCCGCTTCCGCGAATTCCGCCGATTCCGCCTCCAGCCGTGAGCTTTGGCTGGCTGATTCCGCCGGATTGGTTTCGGCTGATTCCGCCGGATTGGTTTTGGCTGGCTGGCTAAAATCGGTTAGGGGCACGAAACGCGGACGCAATGCGTTTGAAGCACACTTACTCTACTTTGTGACAAGGCCCACGCTGGTCTCTCATGTTGCAAAGGGAACAAGCCCCCCCCCCCCAGGGCCAGGGCCAGGAATGGGCATGCTCGTCGTCACATCATGATCCTCTTGTCAAACATACCCATGTGTCCCAACATGTTAGAACCTCTCCAGGATGGAACTTCGAATGGAAAACAAAAGCAAACCAACCATGCGGCTGCTGCTGCTTTTGCTGGAAACATGCCGTTGTTTATCGCCAGAAAGCTTCTCCAAACTATTCACGGCCGGCCACCACATTACATTGGTGGTGTGTCTATTTCCCGTCGTCCGCTGATTGTGATTCAATCAAACATCTGGAAAGCCCCCCCTTTCCCGACCTATTCCTCTCGCGGAGGGCAACCCCGCTGACTACCGCGGAGATGTCATTCGGGGGCAATGATTTGGGCGTCCTGACCAGGTTCTTATTCATCAAGGGCGTGTTTTTTAGGGGCGTATTCATCAAAGATTACCAAGAACTAATTCACCGCGCAGTCTTCATCAGGGATGGACAGTGGCCACGGCCCGCTTCTACTGCACCCACTTGAGTCACAATCAAAACCTGGCACCCACTCATGGTTGGGGGCTGTCCCTGTACATCGCTTTGTTCCAACTTCCCCCAAAATGGACGGATTGCCTTTTCCTCTCCATTTGCACCGACCAAGCCTTGGGGGGGTTCCCATCCAAAAAGGCACATGGCCATGGGTCAAAATCCCGTGCCCCCATGAACATCCCAATCCCCACTAGCATAGGTTCTTTAAAATGGGTGGTGCATCTACCCCAAAATGGGATCCCATTATTCTTTGCCCACAGCCACATCGGTATGAATCAAACTTGGGGGCCAGACATCATCTCCATCTTCGCCAGCCACTTGGGCCACGAAAACTCTGAGCCACGTCTGCGACCTCTGACCGGGCCCGCCTGAGTGCCAGCCACACCGGCCCGGCCAAAGCCACTAGCAGCAAAGCCAAGGCTAGTGCCTCCGAGTCGATGGCTTGGAGCAGTCAAGATATGGCTTGTCTCAAAAGAAACAAGAACCCTTGGTTTGCCTTTACCATCCAACACAGGGGTCCCGGGTCCAACAAAAAGACAGACCCATATAGCCAAAGGGCGCACTTTGCCCCATGTTTTTTTGAAAATTTCTTTTGCCTGAATGAGCGACCCCGCCTTAGCTTCTTCACTGCCATCTGGCTGCCCAAGCCAGGAATTCACCGATTTCTTCCTCTAAAACCAGGCGTTTCCCTGGGTTTCTGGAGGTTTTCTACAAAGAAGCATCCCTGGAAAGAATGGAAATGGAAGCTAGCACTCGAATTCCCTTTTCCAGCGCGGGTTAGGGCTGCAGCTTAGATCCGAGCCCTGCCTTGAATCCTCGGCGCCTGAGAGGTGTCACACAGGGGTGGGGATCGGCAAAACGCCGCTCGAAAGGGGGCCTTTGGCTTTGGCGTTGCGTGGAAGTGTTGCTGTTTGCTTGGGAGGTACTAAATGGTTGGTTGGTTTGGCTTGGTTTGGTTTGGCTTGGTGAAATTGGTTGCTTCGCTTGGTTTGGATTGCTTTGCTTTGCTTTGCTTTGATTTGGTTTGTGTTGGTTTTGCTTGGCTTGGTGCGGTGTGGTGTGGTGTGGTTTGTTGGTTGGTTTGGCTTGGCTTGGCTGGCTTGGCTTGGCTTGGCTTGGCTTGGCTTGGCTTGGCTTGGCTTGGCTTGGCTTGGCTTGGCTTGGCTTGGCTTGGCTTGGCTTGGCTTGGCTTGGCTTGGCTTGGCTTGGCTTGGCTTGGCTTGGCTTGGCTTGGCTTGGCTTGGCTTGGCTTGGCTTGGCTTGGCTTGGCTTGGCTTGGCTTGGCTTGGCTTGGCTTGGCGGTGTGTGGTGTGGTGTGTGTGGTGTGGTGTGGTGTGGTGTGTGTGTGGTGTGGTGTGGTGTGGTGTGGTGTGGTGTGGTGTGGTGGGGTGGGGTGGTGCGGTGCGGTGCGGTGCGGTGCGGTGCGGTGCGGTGCGGGTGCGGCGCGCGCGGCGGCGCGGCGCGGCGCGGCGCGGCGGCGCGGTGCGGTGCGGTGCGGTGCGGTGCGGTGCGGTGCGGTGCGGTGCGGTGCGGTCCGGTGCGGTGTGGTGTGTGTGGTGTGTGTGTGGTGTGGTGTGTGGTGTGTGTGTGGTGTGTGTGTGTGTGTGTGTGTGGTGTGTGGTGTGTGGTGTGTGGTGTGTGGTGTGTGGTGTGTGGTGTGTGGTGTGTGGTGTGTGGTGTGTGGTGTGTGGTGTGTGGTGTGGGGTGTGGGGTGTGGGGTGTGGGGTGTGGGGTGTGGGGTGTGGGGTGTGGGGTGTGGGGTGTGGGGTGTGGGGTGTGGGGTGTGGGATGTGGGATGTGGGATGTGTGGTGTGGTGTGGTGTGGTGTGATGTGGTGTGTTGTGTTGTGTTGTGTTGTGTTGTGTTGTGTTGTGTTGTGTTGTGTTGTGTTGTGTTGTGTTGTGTTGTGTTGTGTTGTGTTGTGTTGTGTTGTGTTGGTTGGTTGGTTGGTTCGGAGCCGCCAATTAGTGCGCGATATTGCAGCTTACAAGTTGAGTCGGACATGCTGAGATACCCGCCTGCCTTAGCAAGGAAATCAGAAGTCAGGCCAATGCCTGTTCAGTCCAAGTCAAGAAAACCGACCAATCAGGCATTTCAGAGTTTGGGACTCGCCGGCCCCGGACCGCACTGACACGGACGGGGCTTCCCACAAGTGATCCTTCCCCAAGGGCTCCCAAGAATCCTGGGCCGGTGCACTCGAATGGGATTCACACCTCAATACCACTTTGAGGGGTTCCCAATCTAGGTCCTCCAGATTTGAGAGGTTAGAAGAAGGGCACCCACTGTTTTCTGTAGTCTATTTTAGTAATTCAACCTTCCCAACCAAAAAAGGGCAAAAGGGCCCTAGCTGGTCGCAATAAGGCGCCCTCCCAACATGGAACCCGCTTGGCTTCCGGGCAGGCAGCTCGCCTGCAGCCTCGGGCCTAAGGGTGCCCATGTTTGAAGGGGCTTCAAGCCATGTGGCTGTGGGTCAAAACCAATACACCAATGGGGTCCCCTTTTGGGCTAGGTGCACCACCCATTCTAGTCGAATTTGGTGGGGATTGGGATGTTCACGAAGTGCGCTGCAACGACCTAGCATCCGCCAGGGGTATCGCGCAGCCCACTGCGCCCCCTCACTTATTAACCTCTCTTGAATCAAGAATCAAGGGTACCAAGGGCTTCAAGCCATGTCTCAACCAAGGCTGTCCTCAAAGAAAGACAATGCCAACAAGGACATGGGAGCCGCCTCCCCTTGAAAGAAAGAATGGGCTTCACCAGCCGCCTATCGTCAGATGCAGTTGGGAAGATACACCATGAAAGCAGATGGCGCAACCTCTTTCTTGTCAATGGTGGGCTAAGGGGATGGCAACTGCTTTCACACAACCGGGTGATCGCCGAGTCCACAGCGCTTTCTTCAGTCTACTGGTTGAAAGGAGTGTGGGCCCATCTGGTGGTGCAATTGATTGCAGGAGACACTCGCAATTGTTTGCCTCTGTTTCACCTAACATCCACCAGCCATCCCGGCCTACCGCGATGCAGCACAGCAACGGCCAGGCCTCGCACACCGCATGGCCGGCTTTGATGCAGCTCCGCCAGAGTCCCCTTTAAAGAAATGGGCATACGCCATATGGGTCAAAATTACCAGGGGACCGCAGGTTTTGGTCCAGGGTTCCATTTACCAGGGTTCCATTTTGGGGTTAGCCCATTTTTCACCCACTGCCGAATCGACGTGGGTAGCTTCTTCGCAGGTCGAACGCGTGGAGGGGAGGGCAGCTCGGAACTTCGTTCGGCGTTTCATAGCTTCGTAGGTGCCAAATTGTTTGGCGCCGTTTTTTTGGGGGGAGATTATTGAGCAAAAAAGTTTTGTCTTTGTCTGTTTTTTCTTTATTGTCTTTATTTAAAAAAGAGGGAAAAAAGAAAACACATGCAGCAGCCATGGAAGGATCCCTAGATCCCGCATTGGACACCGGGATCCTGATTCCCTCATGCCCGGCTGAGCCACACACCGCAAGCCAGAGCAGCAGAACTACTGTGTACCTGCCATCTCGTGCGGAAAGTAGGGAAACGGCCGCCGGTTTCGCAGTCTTGTAAATGTGGAAAGGCCTTCGGGCACATGATTCAATTCACCAAGTGGAATTGGGAGGTTTTCTTTGGGGTTGGCATGGAGTTGGGGGGAGAGCATATCAGCAGCATCTGGACCTGCTTTGTTCATCCAATTAGTAACGTTGGATCTGCTGCGGACAGCGCTTGAAACATCCCCGGCATCACACAATTGTCTCGCTTGGCTTTCAGGGCCGGGATGCTGCGCAGCATCTGGAAACAAGAAGTTGACAAGTGGGTATGTGAAGGAACAGGGGATTCCAAAAAATGTTGATCTCAGGTTCTAGAAGACAATGGCGCCTTGACGAGTCAGAAGCGAGCGCCGCTTTAAAACGCGGCATGCGACTCCAAAGCACCCTGCCGCCTCACGTGAACAAAACACGCTACCAAAGCAACTTGGGCGAGGAGCAAAAAAATAGAGGCCATCTCGTGGCCATGCGGATGTTTCTCTGCTTTTCAAGGAGACCTTGATTTCTTCAAGGTGCTCTGAGCTCAGAACCCTTTCGCCTTTTCCTGGAGTCCGCACCTGGCGGCCAGCAACAGCTCCAGCGACCAGGGCCGGAGGCGCTCCTTGGGCATGGCCAACACCCCCAGCCGCGCCTGCCAGCTTCGAAGCTGCGCGCTGACCGAAAGGAAAAACCAAAAAACACCCTGCGGGGGCTCCAAATCCCTGTTTAAAAAAAAAGCACATGTCATATGAGTCATATACCCATAACTTGGGTGACCCATGAAATACATGTCGCATACCCAGAAGCTGGGTGACCCTAAATGGATAACCAAAACCCAATGACTTCCTTTCGCATGCTATGAGAATGCTCTTTGGTGTAAGCGATGGGAACCCATTTGTTACCAAACGGGTCCCCTGAGATTGGATCCACCCTGGTTATACAGCACCCGGGTGCTCCCATTCGCCGCTCCAATTGTGACCATCGGTCAGAGGAAATCCCAAAAGAAAACGCCTGAACTGTGGCCTTGGCTTCGGTTTTGAGGTTGATAGCTAGGTGCGGTTTGAATGCTGAGCTTGGTAGCTCTAGGCGGGCACTTGCTTTATCCATAGGCCAAGGGGAGACCACGCCAACATATTGAACTGGATTTCCCACCGGCCATTTTACGCAAAAGGGCCCACGTTCACGGTGTGCAGCAACTTTTGTTGAATAACCTGCATCCAATTCTGGATGGGGTTGAACACGCCTGCTGGTCTGCACAAGAGACGTGGCAGAATCAAAGGATCGGCGGAAAACACCTTCATCATGGGTGAGATCCCAAATGCATGGTGTCACCCGGGCACTTCCCAGTTGTGTGTGTGCGCTTTTCGCTCGGGTTGATTGCGTCTGGGATGGTTCGAAGGACGCTCGGGGTGGAGCGGCTGCAAACATCTGCTAGTGACTGCTTTCCGGGGGTGCATGCGTCAAAGCTGGGCACACTTTGGGCGCCCTCACAACGAAAACGGATGCAACCAAGTGCAAGCGTCCCCAGCCTGTGTTGACACTCTGAGAATGTCTCAAAATAGTAGACTCCAAAAAAAAACAAAGTGTGGTACGCCCTTTGAATCACGCCCAACCCTCACCCTCACCCTCAAGATTCACAAAGTGAAAACTTTTGACGCCTGGTTGCCGTTACAGCAACTCTGTTCTCGACTGGGCCGGAGCCGCCCGCACCCTCAGGTGTGGATACAACGTCCTTTTGGCAGGCCTCACTGCCAGGAAAAGCAGAACCACCTCAAACTCACTTCCTGAGTGGATGTGCCAATAAGAATCCGTGTTTGTGGCTTGCCACTTTCCATTGGTCTTCCCAAAAAGTAACTCAGGGTGCTGGGCACTCGATTGGCAGCTCCGGCCCTCGCCAGCCTCTTCGCTTGGCGCAAAGGAGCAGCCGAAGTCTCCGGAGTGCCGCCGGACCTGAGCAAACCCAAAGCTTCAAGAGAGGGCGGGGTACGCTTGGGTGAAAGTAGATGGCAACATTTCCCCATGGAAGTCATCCCCTTTACAAGAAGGGAATTGTGCCCTGAAAAAGGCAGACATGTCTGTTTGGGGTTGACGAACCCTAGAAAAAGCAGGGATAGGGGGCCACTAAACTGGGACGTGCCCAAATATGTGCATGCCCCCTATACCCACATTGGTGCAGGTACTTCCCGTTAAACGGAATATGCAGCACGTCTCTAGAGCTGTCTCTCAGGGTTCGCGGCTATGACGCCTGCAACCAAAAGAGGTGCCCCCGATGCGTATGCGCAACGGGACATATTTCGGGTATCGGTTTGGGTGAGGCCCCTATCGACGTCTGGTGGCAACCTTGAACAGGTATTCGTGTGTGATGTTAGGGAAGGGAAGGCAGTGCTATGCAATGTAGTGCAATGTAGCGTAAGGTACTGTACTGTAATGCAATGTAACAATAATTTGTATGTCCATTACAAAATGTCCATGCAAATAAGCAACCAACGGGTATGTTGAGGCCCCTTTAAGTGTTTCCCAAGGCGACCGGTACCTTTTGGGAAAAAGGTGCCCTTTTGGCAAGTGGATGGCGCTGGCAAACTTGATCAGAACAGAATCAACCAGTGGTGTTGATGTGCAACCAACTAAAATAATCCACAAAGGACACCTAGGTTCCAATTGTAAAAAAGAAACATCGTCATATTGTGAGCGCGCACGGGCGAAACATGTGGTTAGTGTAAAGGGCTTGGGCAAGTAATCACGGCAAGTCACCCCAAACAGTAGTCAAACATGATCAGAAAGATTGTGAGACAGGAGCCCTCGGAGGAAACCTAAACTAGCCGCAGGAGATGATCGTTTGTTTGCGTGCAGACTTGTCTGAAGTTCTAAAATTCTGTGACCACAAAGAGTTGGTATAGAAGGTCTTGGACGCGCTTCTCAAGCAGAAGCCTTCTGAAATCTTCGGAAAGCTCCTATAGATTCAACTATGTTTTTGCTCAAGGTCCTGGGAAAGATCTCTGTGGAAGGATCTTTGCAAACACTCCTGTAGTTTCGTTGATTCTTACACCGCGCCACAGCGAGAGCGATCCGACACACCTAAAGTCCGCAAAGGGTTCACCATTGATGGTCAACATCTGCACTGCACCACAACGAGAGCGAGTCGACCCGACCGAAGTCCAAAGGGGGATGCTCAACACTCGCGCCCATCCAACACGCCCAGAGTCCGCAGAAGGCTTTCTCTGAACTGTTACCGCGCCACAGCCCAGTTTTCCGAGACTTCGTTTTGCGATGCTCGAAACGCGCGCACTGCGCCACGAAAGTCAGCCAAGCCCAGATTTCGATGCACCACGATCTAAACACCATTCTGTGAGTCACACAAAAAGTGGAAAGTCCCGCATGCGCCAAACCCCAAATTGACCACAAACTACTCAGTTGTACCATGGTTGACACTTCTCTTGTGGGACCTCAAAAGGAATCCTCGCAATAGTTGCCTAACCTCCCCATCAAAAGGTTGATAAGCCAAGGGTGTTTGAAGAGGGGCCCACTTTGGCACCTGTGTGACTTAAACTCCTAATGTTGACCCCCAATAAATCAACCCCAGTTTTTTAATAGGGGGCTAGTGTTCCCCTTCAAAAGTCAACAATCCCCACTAAAACAAGAAAATCACCTCCATATGAATAAAGAGGTTTTATCAATAGGGGGTGTTCAGTAAAGGGTCACAAAAGCCCCGATGTATCGGACCCTCGCTGAAAAAAAAGAAGGGCCCCGGCTTCTGCTTCACAGCGAAAGCGGCCCAGAAACTCCTGGCACCCGTCGCGCGCATGGGGGAAACCGAAAAACCGAAACCGGACCGTGCTTCAAGAACAGGAAGCTCCAGCCGGGGGGGGGGGAGGGGGGACGACGTGTTTTTTTCTCTTGGTGGCTGTCTTGCTAGAGGCTTGTTGCTGTACCGTGCTTCTGCGAGAGCAGTGTCGCATGTCTGAAGTACCTGCCTGCACCATTAAAGGGATCACGAGATCGACGGGTGCAAAGCCGTTCCAAAAGTGTATGAGAATGATCCGCTTGCAGCAATGATGAGCCACTCAACAAAACATGCCCTGCCGTTGTTGCGTATCATCCTGTTTGTGTACAGCTTAACTGTGAGTATCAATGGCAATTCGACCTTGTGGTCCGTCCTCGCCGTCGTCACCATCATCATCATCATCATCATCATCATCATCATCATCACCATCATCACCATCATCACCATCGTTATCATTAGCAGCAGCACCAGCAGCAGAAACAGCAGCATCTGTCTCCTCTGGTATTCTTGACAGCCAACGGCTTTCTGGCGTTTGGTTTGTCCTGAGAATTTCGACCCCTCAAAATGGCCATGGCTTGCGCTCAGCCGAGACACCCGCCGAGCGCCGTGCCATTTTGTTTGAATCACATGCTGACCAAAGCTTGGACTGGAGACTCCAAAGCAGCGCCAACCTGAGAACAAAAGCCTAAGACAAGTCCCAACCTGCGAAAAAACTTGCTGCTTTGGCGATTATAGAAATTGAGATCTCGAACCCGCGCGCAAAGCATCAGCCATCCTTCGGATGCTCGAAGGTCATCACTGTCCATCCTGCCAGGCAAGCCCAGCTTCAAACATGTGAGACGGGACCCAAGGGCCACATAGGTTTGACTGGAGGCTGCAGGCAACATAGCGGAAACCACTTCGACAAGGACTCGCCAGGCTCTTCCAATGCCTCCGCACGGCTCAAACGGCATCTAACAACTTACCGGCCCCGCACCAATTGCGCCGCTCTTGGGTTTGATGTCTTGGGCCATGTCAAAATTAGAGCCAGCCTTGCAAATGGCTCAAAATGCAACCCAGCTCACCATGGGATATGGGAGTGTCTTGGCACAAAACACAACAGGGGGTGTCATAAAACCCGAAAAGGGCACCCTCACAGCCAGACACACCCAGGGCCCGTACCCTTTGATTCCCGAGCCGCCGACTCTGCTTGGACCAGTCGCCGTCCTGGCCAAGCTTGCTTCCAACAGCGCGTGAATTTTTGAGGCTACCCTTGTTGGATCGGTCATGGAAACCAAAAGGACCCTGCATTCATGTTTCGGGGGAGTTCCCTTTTTCGGACACAAAGACATGTTCACCGGGACTCAAAGTTCAACTGTTTCCATCCACAAAAGGCCCGGATCTCATCAAACTGCTTTCCCTCTCTCTCTATCCCCCTCTCTCTCTCTCACTCTCTCTCTCTCTCTCTCTCTCTCTGTCTCTCTGTCTCTCTGTCTCTCTCTCTCTCTCTCTCTGTCTCCACAGGACCGACCCGGATCTCATTAAACTGCTCCTACCCAAACATATCGATCCCAGTTGTACAGAGTTGTTGTGTACGGGGCTGGCGTGAGTGTTTCTCAAAACGGAGCCAATCTAAACCAGCGGGTTCCATCTACCCTGGCATAGGTTACCTTGTGGACAAACATTGATGGGGTCGCTAGTCAAACGGGTCATAAAACCGATCTATATATGGGTCAAAACCCCGTACCCCCAGTGAACATCCCAATCCCCACTAAAATAGACTAAAATGGGTGGTGCACCTATCCCAAGATGGTACCATTGGCTTTGAGCCATGGCCATATATGCCAGTGGACAACCATCTATTTCTAGCATCAAAAGGCCACCAGACCGTCTGGCACAAGCACTCCAGATCGCCTCCTCCACCTGCAGCTGCACCCAACAGGAGACGCCAAACCTCAAACGCGGCGCCATGGGGGGGGGGGGGGGGCGGGTCCCCAAGTCCACCCCGTGCACAAGCCGAAGGAGAAGACAACTCCACACCCAGCCAGGTGTTGTTCAAACAAATGCAGCTCAAACATGCTGGACAAAGATCGGCGTTTTCATCTTCACTACGGCGAAAGGGCATGGACCAGCGCACTAAGAGTGCCGCATGCTGTACTTGAAGCTTGGACCCACCTGAGATGGCGACCACGAAAACATCCTAGTCACGCGCAACTGGCAAGAGAGTCACTCGAACGAGACGGCGAGACATTTTGAATTTGGGAGGGTCAAATCTTCAAATGTTGGAATGGGGCCTGGAAAGCTCCAACCGAGATTCTCCGAATTAGGGGAGGTCCTTGGAAAACTTCCCAAGGGGGTTGGGTTTATCTCAAAGCCGTGTTGTTCTTAAAAAACATGTTTCATGTGTTGTTTGTTAAAATGTAATTGGGGTCTCACAGACAGAAATGTCGCGTAAATGAACAAATGGATTTATTCAATCTATATTATTTCTTTTATTCATCTTTTATAAAAGACTTGGGTTTACCTAAAAAACAGAGTTGGTTCCTTCTAAAAACCCGATACACGAATTGTCCATGTCCCTCTCACGCCATGGAAACCCGCATCGAAACCCGGAAACCGTGGCCAAGGGGCGTCGGCCGGGCGGAACTCGCTGCCCAGGCGGCAGGTATGGTCCTCGTGTTATGCCGACCCCTGGTTGGTTTGGCCACCCGAACGAGGGGACCAAAACCCCCCAAGAACAACCAAAAAAACTGGAACCCTAATCGGCCTTATTGGTGGATCCTATAACAAGGAACCCTAGAGGGACCCTCTTGGGTCTTTTTTATGGTTCTGATTCTTGTTAGTCGACCCTAGTAGGCATTGATTAGTGACTATTAGCCCCTGATTGGGGGGCCCTTGTCAACCATAGGACAGAAGGCGTAATGTTCAGATAACAAGGGGTATATACCCATACAGCGGGTTAGCAACCAGGGAACCCAAGGTATGAAGAAGGGGCAGGTACTTCCACTCTCCAACTGTGGGGAAATGTGCGTTCAGCAGACTAGTCGGAAACAGAACGAGAGGCCCTTGAGGCCATCAAGATTAACGCGCAACGCCATCAAAGTAAAATGAAAATTGCTTCTGAGGCTACTGGTGAAGGATATGAGCTCCCCCCCGGAGGCTCCGGTCACCAGGTCCAAACTGCAGGTCACATGGTTCGCAACATGTTCAAAGGTTGTCATTGCTGACTGGCAAAAGGAACGCTGATCTTCGCGTTGCCCCAGCCCGCATGACAAGCAGTCTGGAACAATCCCTATCTTTTCCAGGCTCCTTGTTGGACATGAAGTCCTGGAACGTGCCAACAAATGAGTCAAACCATGTAAAGAACTAAGAAGGCGGCTGCAACCATTCATGGTTGGGATGATCCCTCACCATCCCTTCGTCTACCCGGGTGTTGGTTGTGGCTCAAATGACTTGGAAACAAAGGGAATCGAAAGCGGCCCAAAGACCCCCCCAAACGGAACTTCTGCGGGCTCCGGGCAGAGCTCCAGGCGCGACACACGCGTTGGCTTGAAACCTGTTGCGATCTCTTTCCCGTCCTCCAACTTGTTGTACAGCTGCCTGGAAGCTGGAATGCCTGAAAACATGGCGCGCTCGCCAGGATCGGCTCCGTAGCCCTCAGTTTGGCATGTGGGCCTTTTAAGCATCAGACCTTTTTCAAGTAACTCACCTGAGTACGGGCCTTGCAAAAAGTGATATAGATTTCCACCGTTCTAAGGGCAGAAACCTCCTTTCTACAATCATGGAAGCTGACAGGAGGTTTTGAAAGACTACAGCCCGCCTGACAAGGGTCCCCACGTCCATGATTGTTGCAAAGATGGTATACTGTCCAAAGTTCAAAAGGAAAGGAAAAGCTTAAGGGTCGAAAGGTCAGTTTTCGACCGAGAGGGAGCCCAACCCAGTGATATCCAAGTTCTCGCCTGCGGCAAGGGCGAGCAAACCGCTGGCTGCCTCAGTCGGCCAAAGTGGAGTCTGATGCTAGAGGCGAGTTGGGTTGTCCACTTGGGTTGTCAGAATGGGCGCCCCTTTCGTGCATCACCTGGCGGCACAAGGTGGCAGGGTCCCAAAAGGGGCTGTATTCTTGACAACCCAGTTCCGCCATTTGCCTGACATCAGCTCAGCCTAGGAATGCGAGATATGCCCAATGGTTGCGTAAAGCCTTAAAACTATCTGGCACAGTGGTTTTTGGGTCTGCAGCTATCTGGAACTTAGTGAAACTGCAACCGCATGGCCTGCATATTTGTAAACCCTTCAGCGCCACAAAGGAGTGGTGTCCATTCCTCAAAAACCAAGCACCAGTCTGGTCCCAGTTTTGAGATTCTCTGTCAACGAAAACAAAAATAACATGTCTCTCAACAATCTACTGCATTAGAACTCGGACCAAACAATTGGGTTCCTCTGGTACTTCCTTTTAACACCAGAAAGGGGGCCCCTATATGTGGAAACCCCTATCTAGTATTGTTGGGGCTTGGCAGGGTGATTGACCTGTCTGCCTTTCTCCAAACATGTGGTCATGTGGGTGTGTCTTTTTTCGAGGGTGCCCGGCTTGGGCCTGTTTTTAAGGAAAACCAAAGGGAAACCAACATCCATTTGTTGAGCGTCCCCATGTTAAGACAGCCCCACGTCTTTCTCCCAACGCAGCTTCACGGTCGAGTGGCCACCAGCGCAAGCAGGGCGATAGCCGCCTGTGCGCCATTTCTGCAGGAAAGAAAATCCAGCGGGATGCCTGGTTTTACTCGTTGCTTGGAAACCAAAAGTGAATGGACCTGATTGAAATGGCTGGGGGTTTGCACCCAGCTAGCCTGATGACTTGACATGACCTCACCAAGTTTGATGAGCAACGGCCTGCGCCACTTCTTTAGACGCTGGAAAACCGCTGAAATCATGGGCCACAGTGGGAAGTCACTCAATCAACCTGCCAAGGATGGGGAAACCCAAAACTAGGGAGCCCTTTTTTGTGTAAGTTGAAGCCAACAAGGGAACCCACCTTTGCAGGAGTCCACTCACTTACCCCCATGTCAGGCTGGGCATCTTTCATTTTGGTGGAATACAGAGGTGCTGCTTGACTCATTGACCAACGCTTGCAGGGACTCATAGCACCAAATCCCCGTGGTCAACTCCTTCAAAAGTTAAACGGAGGGCAGGAATCATTCAGTGAAAACCGTCATGTGCTCAACTCATGTTACACACCTGACACATCTGCTTTGCAGTTGATGCATGCGAGCGCTACAGTATTCCTCATGTCAGAGGTCTAGATTTTGCTTGGATTCCCAATGGATCATCGAAGATATGAATTCACTGAGTCGCATTTCCAGTCAAAGATATTGACCACCTCAAAACGGTTTTGCCGGGTTCTTCTTGCGCGATACGTGTGCTTCTGCGGGCCGAGAACTGTTCCTTTGGCCATGGAGGGCACTGTCAAGAATGGTTGCCCCTTTCTGCGACTTGGGATCTACGGCATCCCTTCGGAGATCTGATCACACAAGTTGCCATGACCATGCTCGCCTTGTGTCTGCGCCTTTTTTTTTGGTTGGTCTCCTCCCTTCCGCTGGACATACACAAACTGGGCCCCTTGCCTCACGGCTTCCTTGATGCCAAGTCCATGTTTCACGAGAAAAAAACAAATCTCAATCACGTGGGTCCTTTGTCCAGGTGTTCGTCAGTTGCCGCAGTCCCTTCTCCTGTTCAGAGCACCTCGGCCTTTGTGCAATTTTGTGCAGGGAAAGAAGCTTGCTTCACTGATGGACAAAATCCTGGACCGTTAGGTACTTGATACCATGGGATTTCATGCTGTTCGAAGTGAACAGATTTGGTCAACATTTCCTTGGTGATGAGAAATGGAATGTCCCCCACGCCTTAAGCCCCGGCCCGGGTCACCCAGCCTTCCGCGCAAAGACGCACCTGGGCACTGCCGCCGCGCCCCCGCGTCTTTCGCCGGTGCCCTGGGCTCAAGGGCGGTCGGAAAGGCGGGGCAGTCCAAGAGGTGTTGGCTGCTGGACAAATCTGCACCCCCGCCCCCATCCCACCCATCCCCCCCATCCGCCAATATCTCTATTCTTTCTTGTTGACTTTGACATTTGGTTCTTCGTGGCTGCATTTTCAGCAGTTCGAACATTCTCCACTTGAGGCACCCCACTCGATTTCTGCCAGGCGCCCTGAGCGCCGTGCCGGCGCGAAGGCCGCGCCTTTCCCCTTGCCTCAAGGCGCTTGGCGCGCGAGAACGCGCGCGAGAACGAAGCCGCGAGTGGCTTGGCGCCGCTTTATGGCTTGGCGGAATCAGTCCCACATTGCCACCGCCTTTTGGATGGTTTTAGAAACCAGTGGCACAGACGACTGTACGCAGTCAGATCAAAGGTCAAGACTAAGGCCGCAAAACCCGGTGAATGAAACAAACAACCGGCCTTCGGAAAGGTTGTAGACGACTTCTGTACGTCCAAACTAGGGATCCTAAGACTTTGGCTTCCGAAACTACCCCGCAAGGATTACCTGGGCACACTCCGTGGAAAACCGGCCAATCGGATTCCGAAAGAGCGACCCGGGCCATCCTTTGCGAAAAAAATATATAATTCCGGATATAAAGGATGAATCGAGTTTGCTTACCGCAATCCGTTCTTGGATTGGTCTTGCACAATATCATAATCAATGGCTCACACCCCGACAGAGGGAAGCACTGCAGAAATTGAATTGCTTGAAAACAAAGATGAATAATGAATCATTGGAAATTAAAGAAGCAAAACAATTATTAGTCAATATGCACAGCAGCAAAGCCCCCACTTCCACCCCAGCACATGGGCTGCCCCAGCCCAAACAAAACCCAGCAGAGCTGAGCTCCCTGGACTAATGGATTTCCGATGTTTGGGCACTTTTGCCGTCTGGCACCTGCTTTCACAGCACGGCTCAGTTGCTTTGACATGCGGCCAAAAGCTGGCTTCCAAGTCACAAGCTGCGATGGTGTCACATTTCAACTCGGACACTGAAACATCAATTTCCAGTTGATCAGACTGCAACAAAACGAGGTTGAGCACGCCAAGGATATGTGTGTCAAACCAGATCTGGCACGCCAGATTGAGCTTCAGAAACTGTGCTCGATCACTGCCAGTGGGCGCTGCAAGGGCAGTCTTTCAATTAAGTCCGTTCCCCTTCTGCAGCAGATCTGCACATCTGCTGCTTTCCCGTGCCATCAAACGCCTTGAAGATCAAACCTGGCAGTGATGGTCTCTGCCCCAGCCCGGCTGATGATGGATTCAAGCGTTGCGAAGAAACCAGTTGCAACGACTAGTAAGATAGAGAAAAGTCGTTCAGAAACCCATCTTCTCCTTGAGCCCCAGACTCTCCTGGAGGCTTCTGCGGTCCTGTCCACCAGGAGGCCAGGACAAACCCAGTGGGAGACAACTGCTCTAAGTTCTAAGCTACTATCATTTACAGTACCCCATGCCCCCCATTCTGATTCTTCAAACCCTCCTAGTAGGCATGCTGGCAGTGGGACACCCCCTTCCTTTTCCTTTTCCGGGTGTTGTTACTCGGGGGTCAAAGTCTCGCTAGGATTGTTTGGATCTTAACACGACATGCGGAGGTCCCGTGAACTTTCGGGCACGTGGCAGCTGACCCCAGGCGACCCACGATGAAGGAACTGCAATTAAACCTGACCTGTGGTCAATGTCAGCTCAAGTGCTGCGTCAGAAGCTTTGAAATGACCATGTGATCAGAATTGCTCAAGTTTAGGTTCAAGTAGAGAAGCTTTGAAATGACCATGTGATCGAATTTGAGCCCGTGTCTTTTGGACAACATGGGGCGGACCCAGTCTTGGCACGGTCCAAAGACCCAACTCATGGTGTACCATCCGAGACACGGCACGCCTCTCCAACAGTCTCCGTGTGTGTCCCCATCGAACTCCAAAGGGCGATGTCCAATTGGACTTCTGTTGGACCCCAAAAACATGTGAGTCATAATCAAAACCTGGTAAATGGCCGTGGGTCAAAACCAATAGGATCCCATTTTGGGGTAAGGTGCACCGCCCATTTTAGAACCTACTTTAGTGGGGATTGGGATGTTCACTGCAGGTACGAGATTTTGACCCATGGCCAAATGGACCCAGAACCATGCTTCAAGAATTATCGAGGTTTATGGCAAGGGGATCCGCTACTACCCTTCATCTATCCGACTCGCTTTTGAGCACGTTCCGACGAAATCTAGTATTTGGGGCGCTTTGGGGTTAGCAAGAACTGCAGAAGCCCGCAAAACCATTAGGGGGCCGACCCAAAACCAATAACCCCCGGCATTTGGGAAATTTCGTTCGCGGCTTCGAACCGTGGCTTTAGGTCCAGCCTCTCGGTCTCGTATGGCTTCTTCTGGAAGCTGGCGCCAGGGTGACAAAATTGGGACCCCTGTGGATGGACGAAATCCGTTCAAACCACGAAATGAAACCATGGTTGAAACCATCACGTTTGTTGGTATTTACAGGGGAATCATCAGAAACCAGGGTTTCTTAGGTGGTGGATTTCGTCCATCCACAGTATCGCTGGGGTCTCTGTGCAGAGATAAAGTGAGGCATGGTGAGGTATTGGCTAAAAAAAACACCACCATACTCATGATCTTTCCCAAGGTTTATAATTATTGATTCTCTCTTGGACCCTCTTAAAACCACACGCCCCTGTGTGCCATGGTCAGAATGAAGAAATAAAGTGAGGCATGGCGAGGTACTGGCTACAAAAAACACCACGCTACAAAAAAACACCACCATACTCATGATACTGTAGACCTCCTTTCCCAAGGTTTTATAATTATTGATTCTCTCTTGGACCCTCTTAAAACCACACGCCCATGTGTGCCATGGTCAGAACTACTTCTGACGCAGAAACGGATTCTGATAGAAACACATTGAGCAGCCTAAGTCTATTAAAGAAACCCTAACCCATGCTACAACGGTACTGAGGCAATGTCCTGTGAAAGTTCATGCAACACAATCAGGTTGTTACAGTGGGACCCGTGCCTCGCTTGCCTCGCCCCTTGCAAATACCGTGCTTTGGCTTTCTTCCCTGGTGGAATTCCCATGAGGCGTTTTGAAACGGGCTGTTGCCCACATGGCCCATCGCTCTTGGGCGAACATCGCAATGTGTCCATCGGCAGCCTCTCCTGGTTGGGAAGACCCCCCCACAGGTTCTGGTTGGCTTGCTGCTGAGTGGAAAGCCAATCATCCTAAAATGGTGAACGGTTAAATGGTGCTGTTGCCATCTCAAGCCTTCCGGGAGCCACGGCGAATGAGATCAGATTGGACCAAGGCTGTTGGGCTGCGTGCCGAGCCACATCTGGGCCTTGATCAAGCGCATCTCAACTGTAGAAAATAAGGCTCTGGGGTCTCTGGTTACAGGGTCGCAGGATGGGTTTGATTTGTTTGGGGCTAGGCACTGATATGTTAATTGGGATGTTGACTTACCTTCGCATTAAAAAAAAAAAAAAAACACAAAAAACATGGGTCTTTCCCATTGGGTTCCCCTTGAAAACAAGCCGCAGGGTACCCTCCCTCCCTCCAATCATGCAAGCTGACGGTCGGAGGGTTTGGAAGACGACTTTCCTCGTAAAGAAGCGTGTCCACTTCCATGAGTGTTGGAAAGAGGCTATGCGGTATACTCCAAAAGAGCCCTTATCATGGACATATCAGAACAGCCTTTGGCCGCATGGGACCTGCCCTGCCTGCACCTGGGACTTCCGCTCTGGCCTTGGGCCCCCCCCCAAAAAAAAGCATCCGCTCGGAGATTCAAGCGCTCCAAGAGTCCCAAGAAAAAACGGAAAAAAAAGGGAGGGACTTCCTGAGCGCTTGGCAAGGCCATTTGCATTGTTGGACATTGACCTCCAGCTAATTAAATGCTTGACAGCGGTTCCCTTTCCTTATATACTTCCACCTATCCCAACTGCTACTTGAAATCATGGATTCAATGAAACACACTCCATTGGCCCATTCCTTGTGTGAACAAATCCTAATTCCTGCGGTGCTCCTCTGATGCGATCTATTGCTTATGAAACTATGTTCAGAAAACACATGTGGGAAGAAAGTCCCACTTAAATAGCTGTTTCAAATTCAAACAGTTTGAACAGATTGTATGGGGCGTTATATGATTCGACTAAGGCTCAAAGTAAATGCTATTTTGCCCATCCTCAAGGGGGACTCAGCAAAAAGGGGGTGGGCAGTTGAGAGTTGTACGGTTCCTTAGGGTTCCTTTTGGTTCGTTAGGGTTCCTTAGTGTTCCTTACGGTTCCTAAGGGAGCCTTGGCGACCGTATTGAGAGAACAACTCTATGTTTTTTGTTTGTTTGTTTTTTGGAATAATATCAATTAATGTTAAACGGGCTCCATGTCCTTATCGGAGTTGCTTCACATGTTCACGAACTAAGCCAAGCAGCAGGAAAGTACATGAAACACATCCATATGTGCCTTGGCAAAACACCGTAAAAATACGGGTGCGCTTCAGCATGTGTCCTGCCAGTGCGTTGCCCTTCAAAAAAGATGGAATTGGGCACTCCTGGTAGCAAGCAAGTAGGGTATCAATACGGAAGTAAACTTGAAAGCTATGAATCTGTGGAATCGTCCATCCTCAATGAGAAAAATACTTCTTGGACATGCGCTGAACAACTTTGACGTTTTTGTGCGCTTTGAGGGATCAGTGTACTTCAAACTTTCGGAGACTACAGAACTACGGTCACCACCCAGAAGCATCCAGCATCCAAGAAGAAAACAAGGTCACGGCGCTGTTAGCAACCGTGGGGCCCCGCAACACCATCATTGCATCGGTCAAAGCCAAACCTATGGCAATTACCAGTGCGGTTTCAAACTGCGGCAAATTGAGGCATTGTCTCACGTTGCTGTGTTGCGCAGCACTTCTTATCTTCTTTTCTGCCTTTCCCACTAGAGCGCGGCATACTTGCTGCCACGCTTCCCGCGCAGCTAACGTTTTTTCAGCTGCCGTTCTTGCCTGTCTGAGCGGCTTTTCTGTCTACACAAGTTGAAGACTGCGCCTGTCTGAGCTTCTTGTTCTTCTGTTGAACATGCCTATCGACTTAAGCCAATGCAAGTTGACGCAAGAACAGCTGGGTTCCGGTGGCCTGAACATGTTTATCGACTCAAGCCAATGCAAGTTGACCAAAACAACGGTTGGGTTCTGGTGGCTCTGACAAGGCAACCTGCACACACACAACAGACCTGTGGGCAAGTGATCAAATGTCATCGCGCTTCGGTGTATGTCCGTCTATGTGACTATGCGCTGTTTAAAGCGGCCTGTGCATGGACAGCGTGCGCAAGGACGATGTGTGCAGAGAGGTTCCGGCACGCACGGCCAGAGTGCGCGTGCTGTGTGTCTGTCTGCGGGCGTGTCTGCATTGACTGATGAAAACACCCAACCACCCACCCCACCCACCCCACCCAGCCCCCCAACCCCAAAAAAGTGGCTTGAGAGCTCATGGTCGCTCATCACGCCGAGAGCAAAAACAATATGACGAAGCCGCGCGGAGGACAGCAAGGCCAGCCGAGCAAAACCATAAAAACTAGCAACTAGTTCATTGAAGTGAAAAACCTGAAGAGCAAAACAAAACAAAAACAATCAAAACCAATATGCCTGGGGAGAGGTGTTTCCCCCTCCCCCTCTCCCCCAAAATAACAAAAACACAAAAACATACAAAACAACGAGAACACGACAAACACAATCTGTTGGGGGAGGGGGAGGTGACCCAAGTATTTCCTCAGATCCTTGCTCTATCTATTTGTGTTGTTTGATCTTCCTCGAGGACGTCGCTTGCTTGGAAAACACCGTCCCCCAGCAAAAATAATTAACCTTGTATTCGACATTCGAAAGCCAAGCTGAATCCCAAAAAGCAGACTGTGTTACATGCAAGCCGGCTGGATGGCAAGAAGCACGCTTTCAAGAAGCAGCTCGCGCGAGCTCTGCAGATACAAGACGTTGCGACGTCTCAAACCCGAGTAAAACACCCCACACGCCGGGGGGACCTCCCAACCTGAGAGGTGCACATTGGCGCAGAGACCTTCGTGTCCAAGCCGCCGCTCATGCCTGGGCGCGGGTTTGGCCTTGCATTTGGCACTTTCGGGGGAATCGACCAAAGAGAAACTGAGCAACAAAGAATCCTGCAAAAGGAAACCACAATTTCCGGCCATCCATTCAGTTGTGCAGGTACCTATAAAAGGACAGCAAGCGAGATAGGTACTTTCGGGCTTGGAAGCAAGGAGTAGTTTCTGCCCGGAATTCCTGGCCTGACCAACGTGCGCCTGTTCCCCCCCCACTGGACGCGAACACTGACAACCATTGCCTTGCTTGCCATAATTCCATGCCAAGCTCGTCCCGCACGTTTCAGGACCTCTTTCCCGTGTCAACCCAGGCAAACAAAAAATAGAGTTTGAGCTTTGCAGGCGCGCTGCAAAGCACAGAAACAATATTCCAGCCGAGGCATTGCTCCGACCAAACCAAGGGTTGACTCACGTGGCTCGCCACATCCGGCACCGGAGCCGGGTTCGAACCCGCAGAGGACGGACTCAGCTGCCTTTTTGGGGAAAAAGGCGAGGCCGAGGTCAGACAAATGTTGGCCCAGGAGAAGCAACAGGAAAGATCACTCCAGGCAGGCCGAGCAACAAACCTGAAATCAAAATCAACCCACCAAGAACAACCTCAATCTGTCTGCCTAAAATCCTATGCTGTCTGCCCACGCCCGAAAAACCGAGATTTTTTTCAGGTGAACCTGTTGGGACCTTGAATAACAATTGACCAAAAGGCATCAGAAAGGTTGAAAGGACTGAGAGTCTGTTCAACCAGTGAAGTTTTGCCACAGTTTCCGCCGCGAATCAGCTGACAGCATGTGCGTCATTCAATACTGCTCATGCTCAGGGCTCCTTTGCTTGAAATCCTTCCAACTGTTGTCTAAAATGCTAGTACAGGGTCCCTTCACCATCCCTAGTCCCACCGAAAGTGGCACATGTGGTTCTTTGACCCAGTCACGCATGACCCGTCGCAACCAGCGTTCGTCGCCCGTGCCCCTGGCGGAGCTTGGGCGGAGGGCTCGGGCGGATCTCCTCGTCACCGACGATCCGAAGAACGGATCGCGCGCGCGCGCGCCCTGTCGAGCAATGGCTGCCCAACGGGCGGTGTTCGCAATGCCAAAGCCACGTCGGGTTTTTGATTCTTGTGTAAGCCAGGAAAGGCACCGCAACAATCCCTCAGCCACTAGCCCTGTTGGCAGACCCGAATAAGTTTGATGAACGGTAAGAGTTTCACTCAGGAAAGTTACCCTGAAGGTCAAAGATCTCCTGCGGTATGAGTCGGTTTATGTTCGCGCTTCAGGTGGTGCACCTTTGGAACCGGATCAAAGCATTTTCGCGTCCTCATCATGGTGAATCCTCATCTCGGGCTCCTCCACGACACCATGGGCACAATGGCCTCAGCCGGATTCTCAAAAGGCCGAAGTCGCAGTCACATGCGGAGCTGCCTTCCTGCAAACAGATCTTCACATGGAAGCAGTCAGAAAACGGATCGGAAAGCCATTTCAGCACTGGCGGACCCCTTCCGCGTAGCATCTGCAATTTCCATGAACAAGTGAAGATGATACTCAAAGGCTGTAAGGAATCTCTCCAACAATCATGCTGCTCAATCCAAAGAAACGGCACAGCATGATGTACACCGTGCAGCAACGCGCATGCCAGGAGCACCGGTGTCCTCCCCGTCCCCAATCGACCAAGCGCCCATGTGGTGCAAACCCAAAGAACTGGATATGTGACAATTTCGGGAAGCCCGCACACAGGGAGTCCCATATTGTCACTCTTTTAACATCACCACACGGAAAACAAGGTTTGCCGTGGCCGAGAAAAAAAATGGTACAAGGAACTCTGAGGGTTCGTATCCGAATTGAGTGAATTTCTGGTGCTTCAAAACCTCAATCCCTGATCATTTTGCTCGTCCCTAAATCCATATCTTTCTTGGCCATGGGCAACGGGCTCGCTGTCTTGGTGGTTGGTTTCAATTGGAAACCAATTGTAACAAAACGGAGAAAAGGGCACCGGAGGTCTGGGTAGCGTTGACTTCGGAATTTCACCCGGAGCACCCTAGCAGGAACCCCTCGTTTAGATCGTTTCTTATCAGGGAACCACCTGTGAGTAGCGCGGTCCCCCGGTTTTCCTTCCCGAAGTCAAGATCAATCTCGCCAGCCAGCCGTTTCTCACTTCTCTCGGCAAATCTTTCTAGGTCCTCCAGTAGAGAGCTTATAAGTCGGTACCAACTAGTTCTGTCTATTTTACTGGGGGAAGCTTCCCCAACAAAAGGATCAGGGTCGAGCTTTAATTTAGGCTTTGTTTTATGGGAACCCTCCCCCAACCAGAATAAGCTTATGGTACCAACTTTTTCTGTAGAACAACTTTTTCTGTAGAAAAACCCTGGTAAAATATGGGTACCCTTAGAATAAGGGGAACCGAATCTCTCAACCAAACAAGAGCAGTGAAGGCCCAGCTTCTGGCTCTCCCAGCCAACTCTCTCTCGGTCTCCCCGCAGGTCACCCAAGGCCCAAAGCTGAAGCTCGTGGCATTGGCCTGGAGCCAGCAAAACGGGCCCACTTCTTTTTCCCAGGGCGCTGTGGACGAACTCCGCTTCTCGCACCTAAGAAACCCTGGTTGTTTTCGCTACCCCGGAGGGTCCAAGTACCTGATGAGGATGGCTTTTGGGGGGGTAAGAAGGGGTCCAAGTTTTCTGATGATTGCCCTGGACATACAACAAACCATGTTTTCCCATAGATTCTCCAGGTGCAGGATTTCGTCCATCCACAGTAGTTGTCAGTTTTGAGGCTATCCTGGTTGCCTTGTTTTTTTGGGGGGGAACCTAAAGAACCACCATTCTTACTGGGGTTCCCCTACTTTTTACACATGCCAAGTTTTTGGAGTTACCGGCCCTTTTCCATTCAGAACGGCCCGCCTTGGGGCCTGCGTTTGTGAAATCGTCTGAACACACGAAAAACACGCACCGGTGCACCATTCTCATGTACTCTGGAAACTTATCGGTTCCACTGGCATTGCCTTATTATTCCCTCGGTGTTTCCCTAGCTCTTTCCATTTGGGGTTTGCCTCAAAATGAGAACAGAACCGAATGGCAAGGGTCTTTCTGTTGGCTAAGTCCATCCCAAAATGGGTACGCAAAAAAATGCCACACCCGCTTTTGGCCAAGGCCCAAAGAGTTTTCTCAGTTCCTAGAAGGTTGCGGAACATGTCCACGGCCTTTGAGGTGAGCAATTGTATCCCCCTTTGCAACAGTGGACAGGGGCCTTTTCCCAAGGAAACGCTTGCAAGTCTTGCAAGTCTTGGCAACTCCCCCGTGATTGCTGGAAGGTATCTGGAATCATTCTACCTCACACGCCAGAAATAAGGACCTTCAGTTCAATCGCATGTCACCAACAAAAAATGACCACATATGCCTTGCCCAAGGAGAAACACAAGTTATCTTGCCCCGCTTTGATCTATGCAACTTGCTTGCAAGATGAACATTGCGGGCACCATCTACCTTCTGTGCAGGCGATGCCTCATCATGTACTCGCAATTGAAACCTTGTAATCAGAACATTAGGGTTCAATACATATGTACATATATATATATATATGTATATTATTGGCGTTGAAACATTACTTCACCAAAAGGAATTTCAAAATGACAACCAGATGGTGATATTTTCATCGAAAGCCAAGAGGGGATCTGGGTACGTGCCAAAATAGGGGGACATCATGCCCTTTGCCGCAGGCCCATGCGCATCTTTCGCGAGCCGTGCGCCCGGCCGGAGGCCGCCAGCCTCGGAGGTCTCGGCTGGCCCGTAATTTTGGCGGCTTGGATTGGATTGGATTTGTTCGGCTTTGGAATTGAAGCCCGGCGTTTGAAGAAAAAAAAGTTTCGGATGTATTATCCCCTGTTGGTTTTAAAAGGAATCGATCACTACTGGAAGTATTGTTTTCAAGGGGGCTTAAGCAAATGGAAGCAGGGGATGTACGGTCTACCCCGCTAGCCCGTGATTTTGGTGGCTTGGATTGGTTTGGAGTGGTGGGTTGGCTTTTTCATTTGAAGCCCAGCTTTTGAAGCCAAATGGGGAAGGTACCTAAGGCCCACAACCAATTGGCTCACTCCCTGAGTTCTTGGACTTGCTTTTTGAGAAGACCATTTTAGCGGCAAATAAGAAGTTCCCGGACTTTGTTGGGGGCAATCCACTCAGGAAATGGATCGGTATAGGGTTTGCAACCCAGTACCTGTTGAAACCAAATAGGGAAGGTAGCCCCTGACATCCAAGCCAAACCAACCCAATCAGTGGAAAGCTGAAGACATCTTCACCGCAGCAAGAACACCGCAGGGTCAACTCGCCACCTCTAGATGGAAGTCGAAAAATTATTCACAGGTGTCCTTTTGGGGCAAATCGATGGCCCTGGTAGATGATTAAACCACCAGGTAAACCAGGGCCATCTATTTTTCGACCAAAACAACCAAAAAGGACACCTATGTTCTTCACTAGTGTGTAAGGGATGCCAGGGACGCCCTTTTCGGAGCTGATGGGAATGAAAGGAAACCAGGGGCAAGGGCAAGCCACCCATTTTTATGGGGGCGGCGGGATCCTTTTGCCATCTTACCCAAAGCTTTAGGGGCTAGCTTCCCCATTCGGTTTTAAAAGGTACCGGGTATTCTTAACTGAAGATGGCTTCCACCCCCCCAAACCCCCCAAACCCACCACCCCAAACCGGGGAAACCGGTCTGACATCACACACATCCCAACCATTGGGGGGCCAGTGTCGCCAAGAAGCCGCCGCTGCGGGTTGCCATGGCTGCGCGTCCGTCAGAAACGGCTTCCGGCCAAGGCGCGGATGAGACGCGGAGGGGCCATTTGGACCTCCCGGATTCGAAACCCCACAGGGAGCGCTCCATAGGCCACCACCCATGAAGATGGAGACTGAAATGGTGGTTGGTTGCTCCAAAGGCAAGAACATGACACCTCTGAGCACTCCAGGGTGGATCCGGGCTTCTTGGATATTTAAACGGAGACCATCCAGGCAAAGATAAGCGGAAGTTGTCCTTGTGTTGAAGCGGCGAGAACAAGTTGAAAGGATGCGCATAGACGCTGCCCGGCGGCTCGCTGGTGCCTTTTGATCTAGCAAAATATGAGAACATGGGTGTCTTTTGAAGGGGTCTCCCACAATTTGTGCAGGGTCCGAATCCCTGCGACACATGCGCACATCAGCACAAAAGTGTTGACGAGCCAAGCGGGTCCGGGTCCTTGCGCGGCACGGCCTCCTGGGGGCAAGGAGCGTTCCCGATAGGGGGTGTGGAAAACATACACGGTCCATTCCCTTCTGATTTCGTTTAGGATAAATTGAAAGCATATGGGCGATTTAGCACCCAGTCTCCAAGTCGGCCAGGCTTTCCACCAGCACACCAAGGGTAGCAGGTTGGGGGGGGGCGAGGGTGGAAGCCATCTTCGGTTACTGTCCAAGGGCAGAAAGGCACCCTCTGGTGGACATCATCTACATGGGGATCCTTGCACCAGACAGGCTGATCAGGAGTCCATCAATAAGCAGGGACACCCATGACAATGAGCTAACTTTGGTGTGTCTTGAAGGGATTCGCAATGTTCAGAACTTGCCTTTTGGTCCCCCCAAAGCAACTCTCAACAAAGACAGCCCCACATTGCTTGGCCCGACAGATCCGGCCCACGAAAAGTTAGATCAGCGCAAAAAACCCAAAGACCTGAGGCAAAAAAGGCATCGATCCGCTTTCTTTAGTCCCGCGCTTTGTTCGTTTTGAGTTCAGAACAAGCTCTCCGGAACGCTTCGTTTGCCCGCGGATAAAGGACGAGAAAAAAAAGCATCGCCCACCGCCCTGCGACATCCCCACCCACCAAAACACCCAAACCAAAACAGGGAACATGGCCCACAGACCAACGCGGATGCTTCAGAAGCCATCCGGAGCGGTGCTGAGCCTGCTTTAGCACAGTCAAGCGTATCGAGCAAAGAATGTACCGGGCCCACTGTTCTGAAGCAATGCCAATGCTAAGTGTGAACAGGCCTGCCCCCTCGCAGAAAACGCCGCAGGTGCTAAAGGAAAAATGGCACGCATGCTGTTGCGACTGGCCAATTCCCTTCAGGGTTCTCTTGTTTGAGCATCATTCTGGGGAAGTCGGACTCGAACCAGTGCCTGTGGTGCTTCCTTCACGATCTCGGCCTCAGCCTGCAAAGCATTCCCAAGTTTTCCCTCCAGTGGCAAGGTAGCGTGAGCGAGTCCCTGAGATGGCCCTCAACTTGACTAGGTCCTCCAGTAGAGAGGTTAGAATAAAGATACCCTTTGATTCTGCAGTCTATTTTAGTAAGGGAACCCTCCCCAAAAAGGGTAAAAGGGCACTACCGGGGAACCTGTTGAGCCGCTCCCTTTCAAACACCAAAGCTGCCACGCTGGCGTGGAAAGCCATCAAACCTCGCCGCGGCGGTCCGGCGCACGGGCAGCCTGTGACTGGGCCACGATCTCGTCGAACTGGCGGAGCGGCATGCCGGGCTTTCCGGAATCTGTCTCTTGATGTCATGCCTCCTGGTAATCAAACTCAGCCACTCAAAAATCCATAGAAATCCCACACCCCGTCCGCCATGGAGGCGTCAGGGTGCAGCTCTTAGGGGCGAAATCCGACTTGCTCCCACGGACCAAAGCGTGGCTGGCTGCTTAGCCCGTGGCAACTGCCCCCATGAACACATGCCAGCGCGGCCGTCGGAAACGCTCGCTTGAATTCAGCCTGTTCCTGGAGAGATGTCAAGCGCGACAAGGATCCAAGCCGCTGGTGGGTTTCGGCAAACATAGGCACAGGGGTTCAGTCCCAAGCAAACCAGCGCACCGGGACACTTCTTGCCTGGTTTCCAGGCCCAAAACCCCCTGGTGGTTGCAAATCCACGAACCTGGAATCTGCGTCTCCTGTGGATGCATCAGAATGCGCAAGCCCAAAGCCTACCAAAGCCAGGCGCTCTCTTTGCGCTGGCAAAATACAAAGTTCGATTGTTCTCTTTGCATGTGGTCAATGAACCACCAGCGTACAGCCGCAGCACCTTTGAATACAGGATGCCAGACGCATCAGTCATCAGAAATCAAGCTATCAGCATGCTCGCAACACAAGCAGGCTACAGCAAAGGACAAGAGCAATGACTTCAGGAAACATGCCAGCTGTGAAAGTTCGAACTCTGTTGTGAACTTTCAAGGAAGCCGCAATTAAACAACCGCTTGGAACCCAAGCCTTTTGAAACCATTAATAGCCAATGCCCTTCCCTCTAGAAAAAGCTGCGGGAGTGATCGTTGGCATTTCTGCTGTTCCCGAATTGCCTGAAACTCCTGTGAGTTGTAGGCTTCCCCGCAATTGCTCTGGGTGAATTATAATATTTCACCAACCTGAAACTTGCGGTGGTTGGCTATTCCCCACACAACCCATTTGGGGTGAGGTCGTGTGTGGTCGTTATAATTCACCCAGATTGCTCCCGCAGCTATTCAGAGCAAGGGCTTCCCTTTCAGCGAACTGAAAGCTCCCAGGTCCTGATTCCAAGCGACGGACTTGCTGGCCAGGTCTATCCTAGCGAATCGTGAGCATGCCCCAACAGTCTTCCGGGTTCCATGTTTTGAGGAGTGCATGAATATTGAGCCCTCATGGGTTCCGGAAATAGCAAGGGCTCAATGGATCTTCTACCCTGGCAGTCTGGTTCAGTTGGCTGCTCTCTGGCGCATTTGACGCGTCCGGAAATAGCTTACGTGGGCATGATGTTCATTTGAGAACTCTTGGCTGGACCATTTGCATGATCAACCGACGATTGACGGTGATCCTCATTACAGTTCATAGCCACGCAAGCCATCGGGTGGCTGCGTGAACAGCAACGCGTCGCTACCTGAAAATTGCTTGACCGCAAGCGGCGTCTAAACGAATCGCTTGCCCCAAAATAGGGGACCCGCAAATGGGTTCCTCACCTGAAAGCCCATGCAAAGGGGTGTTCAAATACCCACATTAGAGAAATGTATCCCCCAAAAAACAAAGAAGAAAAAAAGAAAAGCAAAACACAAACAAAACAAAACTAAGAAACCTGTCCAAAGACCCTTAGCGGCTAAGCTTCATCCTTCTAGCAAAAAGGGTACCAGACTTGCTCTGTGGCCGCGCGCCCGCCTAACTTCCCTCGGCGGCGGTGGGTGGATGGCACCGGCAGTTGGGGTCTCCTGGCAGTTCGCATCAATTCAAAGCTACCCCCCGGGCGATTCCACGGAAGCTCCCGAACAGACCCCAAACCGTACGAAGGCCTTCTGGGAGCTTCCATAGCTTGAGGGAGTGTAATTTCGTGGGGTGCGCGAGGGGTTTGAGCGCATTTGCGTGGGCGCTCGTCCGCATTTGAAGAGGCGAGGCAGATCTCTGCTCCAATGGCCTTGAGCCACCACGCCCTGCAGCAAGCTTTAACGCAAAGGCCACCTGAAAAGGGTGTTGGCCGGCCACCAAGCCCTGCAGCATCAGTTGGCCTTTTCCAGCAAATAGTAAAACCCATTCAAAGTTGGAAATATGAGTGCGTGCTTTTTTGGAGGGCACCCAGCTGTTGGTTGGCTAGGGGAGCCAAAAGGAAGGCCAGCATGGTAAGACTTTGACACATGGGTTGATCGATATTCCCGGCCCCAAAATGACGAGCAACTCTTCTCCCCAATGATCATCCCGTGTTTATGGGACCTTTTGGTCAACCCCCACATATGGCCATGGGTCAAAATCCCGTACCCCCAGTGAACATCCCAATCCCCACTAAAGTAGACCAAAATGGGCGGTGCACCTTACCCCAAAATGGGATCCCATTGGTTTTGACCTACAGCCATATCCATGGGAGCTCTTGCAACGAGTGCACCCCTGCCTCGCACATGAAGGACAAGAGGCCCTTCAAGACCGTGGCCACAGACCAGGCTGGCTGCCAGGTCTCGGGGTGGTAGTCAGACCTTTCAGCCCCCCCAAGAAGACCGCTGCCTTCAGAACTCCCGAAAAGGCGAGGGAAGAGTTGCACATCGGGGTTGCTGATAAGTTACGGCTTTAACTTGTTTTGTTGTTTGGACGTGCTGCTTCCAGTTTCTTAATGGACATTGTCTCTAAGCATGGCATCTAGCCGTACCTTTGCGCGGGGGGTCAAACACCCAACGAAACAACCGCCCTGGCGCTGAACATGCGCGGTCAACACTGCTGGAGGCTTTGTCATCTTGCTCTTGTGGCTGAACTGCTCCGTTCAGGGCGGGGGAAGCGGGTTTTCCTTGTCCCTTGCGCTTTCCTTTCAAAGAGGCGCTGGCCTATGGCCAATTGGCCCAGATTGGGCCAATTGGGATGCGCTTTTCTTGTCCATGGCAACTCAATATACGGCAATCTCGCTACATGCGAATCAGCCTCAGCATGCCGAGCAAACCAACACCCAGAAACTGATTTTCCTCATATCTGCGGAGCAAAGCTGAAGTCTGAAGGGGACAAAAGCTGTGCCTGTGAGGAGACAAGTAGTAGAAAACACAAAAACTGCATCTTGGCCGTTCAAATTCTGGATCTTCTCTAAATTTATGGTCGGTTTCCATTGAATGTCTCCCATCTAGGCTCGCCAACACCCAGAAACTGATTTTCCTCATGTCTGCGGGGCAAAGCTGAAGTCTGAAGGGGACAAAAACTGTGCCTGTGAGGAGACAAGTAGGAGAAAACACAAAAACTGCATCTTGGCCGTTCAAATTCCGGATCTTCTCTATATTTATGGTCGGTTTCCATTGAATGTCATCCAACAGTGGAACATTTCGAACTCCCATCTAGGCTCGCCAACACCCAGAAACTGATTTTCCTCATGTCTGCGGGGCAAAGCTGAAGTCTGAAGGGGACAAAAACTGTGCCTGTGAGGAGACAAGTAGGAGAAAACACAAAAACTGCATCTTGGCCGTTCAAATTCCGGATCTTCTCTATATTTATGGTCGGTTTCCATTGAATGTCATCCAACAGTGGAACATATCGAACTCCCATCTAGGCTCCCGCGCATTGAGAGGCAAAGTCTCGTGTTGATTTCGAAGCGTCCATTGGGCGTCACCTCAGAAGGGATCGTAGGATGCTCTCTGGAGACTGCCCATGGGGTTTGCCTTTTGACCTTCTTCTTTGGAAGAATCAAGGGGATCCCCTCAAAAAGGATCTGTACAATTGTTTGGGGCTCCTTTCTTTTCCAAGACCGGGTCAAAAGGCGCAACCAATTGACCGCAGGTGCTGGCGATAAGCTTGCGGGGCCGCGGTTCCACATCACAAGAGCAATCCTTCCAAAGCGTGAAGGACTCCAAACTAGGACCGGTTGTGGCTGTTCCTTAAGGACACTCCGTCCCAGACTTTGGGTAGCTTTTTTTAAAGCTGGCTTGGAAAACCTGGGCCATGCGAGTGAAAGTCCTAGGGAGGCAAAAGACCATCAATTCATGACCCCCATGTTTCGAGAATCACTCAGCTCAACAGGCTCACTTCCCACTGCAAGTTGCATTTGAGTGTCTTCCTGAGCTCCAAGCCATCAAAATGGAAGGCGGTCTGAAGGGATAGTCCTTGGGAAATTTGAGCCGCCCCCAGTACCTTGGCGAATCATCAGGCTCCAGCATCACAGTGCGTGAGGGCATGGTCTTTTGGTGTACGGCCCCCCAACATCACGGGTCTTCCCTCGTCCTTGATGCGTGAGGATGGCATCCATTCTGCCCCAAGCAATATCGCTTCGAGAAACAACACCAGGGCAGTGCGCGCGACTCAGCGGCAAAGCTCTCACTGCCAGGCGTGGCACCATCCGCCCTCGTAGGGGGTGTCCTTGTATCGAGCATTCATGCACCTCCGCCAAAGTCTGCAAAAAATAGAATTCCAACTTGAATTCAGAAATCGATTGATCACAGTGCCTGAGCTCGCTTTACTTTGCAAGCTTGAAGGCCGACGCAAAGGCAATACCTTGGGATCCGTCCGGTCCGAGAGACGTTTCCTCAACGCGTCACGTCGGGGGCCATTGACTTGTAAAACCATGCCTTAACCACCATCGTTTCATGGAATCCCTTTGGTTTACCTTCAAAGAACGGCAGTGTTGATCGTGGTTTCTTTCGATAGAAATATCTGTAATCTTGGTCTTTGACACCCTGCAAAAAAAAAAAAACAACGATTGCCAGTTACCCTCCCAACTAAGGACTATCGCCAGGTTGTTCCAACCGACTCAACCTTGTAATGCATGTCCGCGTCCTTTGGCCCCTCCAAGACGTAGTGCCACTCCAAGATGTTGGACTGGCCACGACTTGCTAAGGACCCGCTGCGGTTCGCCCACTTAGAACCACCAAACACTATCGCTGGATGAATTCTCCCATTGCCCCTCCGCCAAGTTGGTATTGCAAACAATCATATCCAACCAATACTTTGCCAATCCTTCTCCGTGATCCAAAACGGGATGCGAAACCTCTTGCACCTCAGCAACAACTCAAAGTCATTGCCTGTGGAATTGCTGGCTCTGCTGCCCTTCTCTGACGGTAGGTTGCTCCGGCCGCTATGATTTGCATACCCACGGCACAAAACTGTCCTTCAAAAGGATGATTCCGCATTTGTGAACCCTGCACAGAAATACAGTACCTCTTTATGCAGAACGAAAAAGCATTAAGTCGTCCTATCAGTTGCTCTGAGCCTCACAAAGCCTGTTTGCACCCAAAAATCCCCAACACCGGTTATTGCATGTCCCGCCCGAACGCACGCAAGATTAGAGAGTGACAGTGATTGAAACAGAGTTTCAGGAAGTAGCCAACCGAACCCGCCAACAAGAAAGTAAAAGCCAGTTACCCCCGCTGCCAAGAGCAAAGCGGCTCTCGGCCAGAACAGACACGAACCAAAAACAGGGCGCCAGTTTCCAACATGAATAAGCCCACCAAGGGCAGCAAAGGCAAGCAGCGGAGCAGCAGCACCAAAGCAGAAGAGCGCCCAAGCCAAGCAATGCAGCAAAGCAACCAAGCGCACCGGCAACCCTCCGAGCCTAGGTCCCGACCCAAGACCAACCCCAAGGTCACCACCAGTTCCTCGGCCGCGCGCACCTTTCCGCGGAACGAGCTCAGGCGCCGCGGCCGGGGGGTCGACGTCTATGGCGGGCTAAGTTGCTGAGAGTAAAAGCTTGAGCCAAACACCGCGTTGGGTGAAGGCATGTGTACATGCTATGATACCAGCGCATGACCTTAAAGCCCACCCCCTCGCCTGTAAAGCAAAAGGATTAGGTTACCAGGGCTCTCGACCCGGCGCGAGCTGGTTCGAAGAGCGTTGGTGCGAATACCGCCAGCAGCAACCAGCGGTACGTGACCAAGTTGGTCACTGCGACCGCAGTCAGCGGTTCAGCACCAAGTGGGTCGGATGAGTTCCACCTTCCGTGGCGTCAGTCAGTAGTTCAGGAGGCTGAAGACGTCCAGCGGCAATAGACTGCCTTGCCGGTTGAGGGAATACCTGAACAGGGTTGTCTGTAATTGGTGCCAGACGCATGCAGTAACTTAATTTTTGGCGATTAGCCGGAAAAGAGAAATCTTAGGCTGGGTCGTTGCATCCACTTAGAATGTACAGTTGTAGGCGAGTAGCCGTGATATGCCAGAACACATGTAGTGCGGGAAATTTTCCCGCCGCCTGTTGCCCAGCTTTCTGGAGGTGCTGTAAGCCTGTGTGGCGATTTATGCACCTGGTTTTCAGGGTTGAGCGACACTCCCCATCATTAACAAGACGTGTCCTGCGTCGGCACCCACGTTCGGGCCCCGACCAGTGTACGGTGTACGGTCACCCTATCTCATTAAACTGAGGGAGGCCCCTTCCCTAGCACACCCTCGCAAGCAGCTCAATAAAACGTCGCGGCCCAATAATTCTCGACCGCGCCAACAGCACCTCATGAAACCGAGGAAGGCCTGCTACTTCCCTAGAGCACAGCCTCACGAACGGCTCAATTGGGCGGATAGTCGGGGGCAATCTCCAAAACCATCGAACAGTGTCGTGGCATCAAGTCAAGTCATGAACAATTGCGGCCATGGATTTGCCCTATTGTGAGCCTCCTTCAGCTATAGACCCGGTTTGCAAGGCCAGGCGACACTCGCCCATCGTTAACAAGACGTATCCCGTGTCAGTACCCAGTTGGAGTCAACGCGCTCAAGGATGGGCATGAACGGTGTTCGCGCATAGGGCCCACCGCCAACAGCGCATCGTTATTTGTCCCTAGAGCACACCCTCAGCAGCAGCTCAATGGGCGGGTAGCCGGAGGAAATGATTCAAGACCACCGAACAGTGTCGTGGCATCAAGTAGCAAGTGAGGAACCATTGCGGGCTCGAAACAAGCCTGCGTTGCCCCGGCGCGACCACGATATCAGTGATTCCAGGAAATCATGTCCCAGGGATCGTCCATTTAGGGCCTCCTCCAAGAGTCCGCTAGTGGCAATTGCTTGGGAGAGGCGTCCGCAGCCCGTCGCTCAGCTTGCTCAACCTTCCACGCCTCAGTCACCCTGTGCCACGCCTCAGTCACCCGTTTCGAACAATACCAGTGATACTATTGCCCGACGGCCCACAGCTTTCCAATCCAGCCTCATCCCGTTCGGACCACCGATGTTGCTATGCTCGCTGCACAGGTCAATGTTCATCAATTCCAAGAAAGGAAAGATGAGGGCGGAGCCCTCGATTAGTCCTTTTGCTCTTGGAGCGATTGGCTCCTGAGGCGCTAGATGATAGGACAACGCATCGGAAAAGGGTTGGTCTGGCAGAAAAGTTGGGACTGGTCAGTGATCTGGACTTTGCTACTCGCTGCGTCCAGGAGACCGGCCTGACCGAGAACCCACTTGTGGGTTACCACCAAGGGACGGCCCGTAGTGTTTGCCATGAGGCCTACAAATACCTAATGGAAAAACGGCCCCTGGGGTTGTTATTCAAGGGGGTTCTCGGCGCCAACCAAGGACGAACCCTACGGCTGACAACCTGCGAAAGGGCTTGAAGCAGAGTCTTGGGAAGTAACCTACAGGTCCAAGCCCACCAACAAGAAAAAGTCAGTTACCCCCGCTGCCAAGAGCAAAGCGGCTCTCGGCCAGAACAGACACGAACCAAAAACAGGGCGCCAGTTTCCAACATGAATAAGCCCACCAAGGGCAGCAAAGGCAAGCAGCGGAGCAGCAGCACCAAAGCAGAAGAGCGCCCAAGCCAAGCAATGCAGCAAAGCAACCAAGCGCACCGGCAACCCTCCGAGCCTAGGTCCCGACCCAAGACCAACCCCAAGGTCACCACCAGTTCCTCGGCCGCGCGCACCTTTCCGCGGAACGAGCTCAGGCGCCGTGGCCGGGGGGTCGACGTCTATGGCGGGCTAAGTTGCTGAGAGTAAAAGCTTGAGCCAAACACCGCGTTGGGTGAAGGCATGTATGCACATGCTATGACAAAAGCGCATGACCCAAAAAACCAAAGAGGTACGAACACCCTGCGAACGGGTCGTAACACCCTTTCCGAAAAGCCTCCAAAAGAGGCCCCCCAAGCGGCCGCCCACGCCTCCCATAAAACATCACCCCTACCTAAGACAAAAACTCGCCTTACACGAGCCGAAAGGGTGATGGTCAAAACCCACCGAAAGATAAAAAGAAGTGTAGGGACCCTTGCAAACGTGGGACCCGCAAAGCGATGTTTGTTCTGTTACTTGGTTGCGTTCTGCTCCCCTGCTGAAAGTTTAACTTTTTGTGGTTTAATGGAAAACTCGTTTAAAGTCAAAGTCCTAACATCCAAGCAAAATGCACGAAAGGTTAGGCACCTCCTCCACAGAGACGTGGATGTGGGGCGCCGGATCCTCGCTGATCGCCTTGATCTCTTTGCGCAGCCGTGAGGACGCCTGCCAGGATCCAACTTCCCTACTCGGTGCCAGTGTGCCACAAAACAAGACACACCCAAATCGCAATTGTGGGGCTACTCATGAGAAACAGCCCTGGGCAAGGGCCTGAACGTGCGCTCCATGACGTTTCATGTTCGAACGCTTCCCTTACATACCCGCACATTACACCTCCCGATGACTGCCACTCACACAAAAAGGCAATCTACAACCAACTCATCTGCTCGTTTGCTTGTTGATCTGTGGTGAAATATTTGGCCGTCGCTGCCAGGCAAAGCACAAACAACGGGGTCATTCCTAGTCCTATTCCGTAGTGGGACAAACACCGCAAGGAAAACCTGGCATAAGCATAAGAGATTGATTTTGAACAACCCAAATATAGAGCCAATCAAACAGCGCCACGCTTCGAGCTGGCCCACATGCTGATGTTTAAAACGACCCCTTGGGCATGAGTCCCAGTGCTCCTTGCGGCTCTTATACAGAGACCCTAACAGCCCCTCAAAGACCTGCAAGGTAAAAGCAAACAAAACAAAATAAAACAAAAAACAAGATGTGGAAGCGGTCCTGCAAGGGGGATGGGGACGAAATAAACTACTAGAGCTAGCGAACCTCGGGCAGAAGTTTCCAAAAGCATAACACACCTTTCGGAGGGATCCGGTCAAACACTCTGTTGCAGCCCTTGCCGTCTGAGTGTTCTTTCCCAGCGCGTCAGCATGTGCTTTGTGAGTTCCTGAACTGTTGCACTGGCGACTGCTTGCTACGGAGCTCGCGAACTATGGGTGTAGCCGAAGCTGCGAAAGCGTTCCCCACGCACCACTTTCGAACTCAAAAGTTACACTTTTCAAGCCGGAGGTTCGCGTACTTGTTGCTACTTTTGTCCGAGGTCGCGATGTCTGAGCCGGATCCGCGAAAGCGCGCTATCTCCAAATCGAGTACTGCAAACTCGCTGCATCTTGCCAATGGGGAAAGCTCAACTCCTGAATCCGAACCAGCAGAAGTCCGCAAAGGGCTTGTTCTGAAGTTTGCCACTCGCGAGCGTTCAAATGGACAAGTTCAAAGCCCGAATCCGCACCTGCAGAACGTCTGCATGGAGAATGTTCACCAATCCAGAGGAGCACTCAACAATCGCCAAGCTTTTGAATGTCAGCAGCCGAAAGTGCGCAAAGAATTCACCATTTCAAGGTCCGAAATTACGCGGCCGCATCGTTGCGCAACTCTTCCGAACCCGCAGACAGTCCACAAAGGGTTCTGTCCGCAAAGGTTCTGTCCACAAAGGGCTCACCATTCTGAAACTCGCTCTTACCATTCCAAGCTCGTTCGGGCACACACAGGTTCTGTCCGCAAAAGGCTCACCTGTTGAAGTTCGCGAAACGCTTGAACGTGCCATGTGAGAATTGTTCGCCCGTTCGCGAGGCTTCAGTCCGCTTCGTTTCCCATCCGAACCCTTTAGGAACCCGCCCGCTGTTTACACAAGCCTGCATGCTCGCAACTCGAGCGTTTCCTGGCTAAGTCTCTGAAGTTGCTATACCTTTCTACTTCCATTCATTTGCTAGTTCCTTCTATTCTCACGTTGACATGGTCAACTAGTCAGGATGCAACTTTTTGGTTCAGGAGTTTTGCCACTCAACTTCTTTGATCATAGGGAGGCCTGCAAGAGGGGGCCAAAACAAGCGGTTCTACGAACATCTGAGAACCTTTCTGCAGGGGGGGGGGGCGGCAAGCATCACGACCTCGTTGGCTTCAAAGGGGGCCATGCCAACGCCGACCAGTTGTATCTAAACGCACACACACACACACATACACTCATTCGGTGTATACATCTATTCTTAGCATGGCTAGTGCCATGCTAACAATAGCAAGTTGAACTGTCAAGTTGGCGAATGCCCAGCTGCTTCGACAACTCCCCTGCTGAACCTACCAATACTCAATTAGAGGAGGGGATTGAGTAGAATGGACACCATCTGCAAAGATGTGGTTCCTTCCAGGGATGTGACAAAATGACCGATCCTCGGGCCTGTTTGGACGCCATGAGCAGCTTTTGCCACACTACGGGCGTGCCAGGTATGTCTTGGCGCCGTGCTCTGGTTCATGTTCGTGACTTGCTGCGATGTGCCAATGGACTCGCTAGGAATGCCGAGACACTTTGGGGTGCCAGCACAATATCCACCAAGGTTGCTTCTGTGCTAATGTGCGAAGAAAAATCGACGGTCCGTGGACCTTCTTCGCCTGCAGGAGGCACCTCTTCACATGGGCATGTCGGGTCTTGGGCCTCAAGGAAGCCTTGGGCCAAGCATCGCGGGCCAAGCATCGCCGGAAAATCGCACTGTGCGAAAACCTTTGGGGATCTGCACTGGCCATCAGCTAGCTGCCCACGCAGCCCAGAGGCCACGGGAAATTTGATGGATCCTTCCCACTGCTTGGCAGTGGACAATTGCAGTCCTTTGCTGCGGATGAATTTCCTCCCAAAGTGGATGGCAAACCTGGGCCCCGACGTAGGAGCATGCAGGCCACCATCTACTTGGGACTTGTGGTATTGAAGCTGTGCTTGGAACAAATCCCTGACTCGTAACTCCCGACCGCTGCGCCGTTCGGTCATAGACAACCCACACTTCAGGATCATGGCAGCCGGTCCTTTCCGTGCTCTCCCAAAAAGGCTCATGGCTCATGGCACGGCAATAGGAGCGACCAAACGATGCGCTCTGGCGCCGAGTCGAGTCGCGCGGAAGATCACAGCACTCACGGGGAGCCAGGCCCATGCCACGGCGAAAACCGGCGAACACCTGGAAAAAGCTCTCGGAGGGAAAAGGACTTGGCCCCTCTTGCAGTTCTCCGTTTGGTTTGCCGGTTTCCCTTTGAATCTTTTTGTTGGCTTTCCTTTCCAAGGGGGAAAGGCTACCCTCAAAGAAAAGAACAAGAGAAAGCAAGACAAACCACCTCAGTCGGGCGGGAAATGCACAGATCGTCGGGTGAACGGGAGAACGGGGCCGGTTCGGTTGCCGTGCCGGAGCAAAGACAGCACATCTGCCGCCCTCAATGGGCAAGCACTGTGTTCCGTTTGAAACGGAAGTCTGAAATGGAGATGGCTCAAGCGGACCCTGCTTGCATGTAGTTGGTTGTTTTACCCCAGACCCACCACTTTCGAGGGAGCCCAAATCAAGCGTTGGCCGATTTTTTCGCCGGCGAGTGGGGTTAAAAACGGGGTGGATCCTTCACTTTTGAGTTTTGGCCAAGGCCCACAGCTTTCAGAGTGGCGACTTCCCTCGGATTCGACTCGGAGCCTCAGAAGGGCGACACGACACCTGCGACGTCCAGGATCCGCAGAGGCGCCATGGGTGGCCTTCGAGTCCAGGTCTGGTTTCGCGGCGGCTTGGGAAGACGACCTCTCACTTACGGTCGGGACAAAAAAACATATGTTTTTTTTTCCGGGTGGAAGTGGGTGGGTGGGAGAAGTGGGTGGGTGGGGAAGAGTGGGTGGGTGGGGGGGAGTGGGCGGGGGATCTCCCCAAATCCCAAACATCTCCCCAAGAAGTTGGCTAGCCTCGCCTGTTCCATTGAGCTACGAGACTTATCGCGGCCTGGATAGGCCGCGATAGACGTGCGCGACAAGCGCTATCTTGCAGATGCTTACTCGTATGGCCACAAGAACTCGGATTGCTTTGTCCCACCCGACCAAGATGGAACCTGCCAGCCTGAAGAGAAAATCATCCAGTGGTCTCTCTTCATTTCCCCCAGCAACGCATGGAGAGGTCAACCAGAACATCCACCAACCGAGCTTGGCTCTCACTGTTACTTTGAGACGCACAACTCTCTTGGGGTTCATGTTGACCACATATATTAAAAATAAAATAAAATAAAAAATGAATAGGCAGCGTGTCCTGGGTTTCGTGGGGAATCAGACCACTTTTGGAGGGGTCAAAAACCACCCCCCTATTCCTAGACAGGTGGTTGGTTCATATATTTATATATACATATACAATATATAATATATATATATATTATTATTATGATTATGATTATTATTATTATTATTATTATTATTATTATTATTATTATTATTATTATTATTATTATTATTATTATTATTATTATTATTATTATTATTATTATTATTATTATTATTATTATTAATTATTATTATATACATATATATATATATGTGCCGATGCGTCAACACCCCGTACTCCCAGTGAACCTCCCAATCCCCACTAAAATAGACCAAAATGGGTGGTGCACCTACCCCAAAATGGTACCATTGGTTTTGACCCATGGCCATATTAACCAACCGTCTAGTAATAGGGGGTAAACCTTTTAACCCCTCCAAAAGTGGTCTGATTCCCCACTAAACCCAGGACACCCCCAATATGGGGTCAGCATGCCCCCGGCGCTTTGACTTTGGGATCCCCGGCAGCTCGGGCGAGTCCTGGATTCGCTTCTCGGCCCCTGGGCCCAGTAGAATCGGCAGCACCAGCCTTAATGCACCCCAACTGGGGCCGGCTGTTTTCAAAAAAGATGAGGGGGTCTGAAAAATGCGCTTTGCTTTTGGGTGGCTGTCCGCAAGCAATCACGAAAATAATTTTGAGGATAATGGGCCCTCTCGTGAGCGATTGGTTGCCTTTCGGCTTCCCTCACGGCACCCAGTTTTAGGACACGAACCATTTGCTCAAGCTGTATCTGCTGATTGCGACAGTGATTCCAGATGCCCTCCGGGAAGGTTGCATCATGTGCAAAAGCAAACAAATCAACTCGCTCATCGTTTATCTGACAAAGGTCCAGTTGCACCTAGTCTGACTGGTCCGAATCCGCTTCGTGTAGCTGCGTCTGAGTCGAAAAAATCTTGGGGACCAAATTTATACGCAGAGGCACCCTCCACAGGGCCTCCGCTTCTTGGGGGTTCGCTGCCCTTCGATTCGGAGGGGCACCGCGGTCCTTCTTGGGATACCCGGGCCAAAGGCTTGAACCCCTGGTGTTGAACCCGGCCAAAGATTTCGTCGCGAAATCTATGCGCCCACATGTCAGCAGACTGCGAGTACACGAGTGGAACACTAAGTACACTTTGGTAGCTGCGGCTCAAAAATTGCAGCTTCTCAGTACAAGAGTAGTCTGCACTTGGACCCACACCTTTCACGGAGCTTTCGCGGAAATCCCTGAAAATTTTCGAAGCCGGCAAACAGCCTGTGCACACGCATAACACAGAAGCGAAGGCATGTTCTCGCGAAAACCGTGAACAACGCCTGCTCTTTTCGGGCTCTGCCTGCCCCCAAGTGCTGCCTGAACACTGTTGTGCTCCCTTTGCGGAGCATTCGCGGACCGAGTTTGGTCAAATGTTTGGGAAACCGCTTGTATAAAGATCATCGTCTGTTTGGCGCAGCTTGGCCATACCAACACAGAGTGTGGGATTGCACGCGCTTTCCATTCTAGCAAATTAAAACAATGCTCCCAAAGCCAAGAACATCCTCTAGACCTGAGGCACCCAACGTGCCATTTCTTTTAGGTACGAGAAAGAAACGCTCGAATTACCGATTTCTGCTCGACCCCCAAAAAAACGCTCGCCCCCCGAAAAACGCTCGACCAAATCCTCTTCTTCCATCAAAGGAAGGCGGGCATTGTTACTTTTTTTTTATATTTGCACTCGTTTGCGGATATTTGCGCTCGTTTTGCGGCTATTTGCGCTCGTTTTGCACTTCGATTTCTGCTCGCTCCTTTCGAAAATTCAGCGACCGATTACCTTGGAGGACCGACCAGCCCGATTTTGTGAAAAACGCTGAAGCAGGGAAAAAGTGTACGTTTACCATATTTTGGTGACGACCCCTGGTTTTGCAATACGTTTGGGCTAAGGGCAGAAATTGAGGTAACGACGGGTGCTCCAGGGACATTGGCACTTTTTGCGCAATTCCAATTTCTGACATCTTTCGCAATCTGAGAAAAACCAAACAAGGTTTCCAAAGGTCACCCAGTCCATTGCCACTTGCCAAGACGCTCCACCTGCGGGTCGTGCCGCCTGCGCGAACAGCCACTGTCACCGATGTCTTGAACCATGTGGGTGTGGGTCAAAAATTGGTACCCAAAACGGAACCCTGGTAAATGGAAACATGGACTGAAACCTGCCGGCCGCTGATGGTTTAATTTTGACCCACACCCATGTGTGAAATGGGTGAAACTCCTTCTGTGGATCATGGTCCTGGTGTCGTCAGTACGCACCTTGATCTGAGGGGGGGTTGATGACCATCTCGACGGAAGAGAGAGGGAAGAGGAATTGGGTTCTGGTTGCGGCTGCCCCCGTTTTAACCATGGACGATGAACTGTGAAGAATCTCAGCGCACCACAATGAGTCCAAAACACCTCTTCTTAAACACTTGAGCAGTGTTTAGCGGGCATTAAAACAATCGCGCACCGATGCACCAACCTATAAGCACACAAACACAGAGAGAGAGGGGGAGATGCACACAAACGAACACTCACGGAAAAAGACAAGACACATAGAGCACGCAAACACTCGAACAAGCAAAAACACCACAACACACAAACGCACAGGAAAACAAACAAACAGACAGACAGACAGACAGACAGACAGACAGACAGACAGACAGACAGACAGACAGACAGACAGACAAACAAACAAGCAAACAAACACACACAAACGAAAACACAAACACAGAAAAACCAGCAAGCAAGCAAGCAAGCAAGCAAGCAAGCAAGCAAGCAAGCAAGCAAGCAAGCAAGCAAGCAAGCAAGCAAAAAGACGAATCAATCAACCGACCGACCGACGAGCCGGCCAGCCAGCCAGCCAGCCAGCCAGCCAGCAGACCAACAAACCAACCGACCGCCCCACCGACCGACCGACCCAGCGACCAACCGACCCACCGAACGACCGATCGAACAACAAAACAAACAAACAAACAAACAAACAAACAATCAAACAAAACACACACACACACACACTCTGACACGGACACGGACACGGACACGGACACAGACACAGACACAGACACAGACACAGACACAGCCACAAACACACCCACAGACACAGACACGCACAGACACAGACGCAGGGCACACACACACACACACAAGAGCTTCAAAACTCTGGGTTTCTACACACCAGGAGTGTCTGGGTTTCCCAGGCATGTCTCTGGCCCTCTTTCAATCCCACATCCTCAAGGAAGACTCGGCCAAATCCTTTCAGAAAGTCCCCTCGAGTATAGCATGGTGAACAATTGAAGTCGACATGGGCATGGTCAATATGGGGTTGTCTCAAAATATGGGGTTGTCTCAATATGATTGGCCCCAATGGCGAGGTTCCCGTTGGCTTCCTTATGAAGCCAAGAAAAACATGGCCGATCATCTTCCCATTTCCCCCGCGCCTCATTGGGCCCTCGACCACAGGATATGTGTGCCTCAGCTTGCAACCTAGGTAAATGAACACAAATACTTGGCCTCACAAATACTTGGCCTCTACAAGAACCCGGGGTCGGGTTTCTCTCAAAGGAAGCGCTTTCACCTTGCTGTTCAAGGGAAAGAGCGAGAAGGAAACGGCTCTGTGCACGTCGGTACACCAAGCTGGAAAGAAACATCAAGTGAGGCAAGGAAAACCCCCACGCTGGTTCAAAAACACGGGGCCACTGCCAGCCTTCGGTTAATTCATTGCGAGGTAAAACTTGCCATGTGGGTTTAGGTCCCAATGCTTTGGGGTGGACTCCCATGGAATGGTGCCTAGGAAAGCAGATTGAAATCACCACCTCGGATTTCACAGGGCACCGATTCCCAGAAGCCCTCCAACCTGCTGCCCACTTCCCCTTTGTCAACCAGGAGTGGCTCCTTTTCTGTGCTTGGAGGTCATTTCCAAAAAAACACTCCACCAGGAGTAGACAGTCATCAAGAGTAAGATATGGGAACGTACCCCAATCTCATGCAGCAAGTAATTCAGGTGGCTGTTTCTGTTCATGGCTGGGCACGCCCCGTAACCTCCCGTTGCCCGCACTTAGGCGCAAGTGATCTTGGCTCACGGTGACTTGAGCGTGTCCTTAAGGAACCAAAACGTACTTTTTCGTTTGCCTTGAGCTCGTGCAAAAGGGGCCTTGAATTGAGCCCCATCCACTCTCCAGAGTTGATTTGAATTTGCGTCAAGTTGGAGCCCCACATTTTGGGTGTCCGTTGGGCGTCCCTCGACTCCAAAAGGGCACCCTCAACAGACAGACAGACCGACGTATCCTTCCCCACTTCGGGAACAACACAGTTGCAATCCTTCACTTTTGGGGAAATCACCCAATCCATCACTTAGCTGAGGGCCATTCAAAACCAATTCCCACCCGCGTTTCAATACATCAAGGGCATTCCCCATTTCGCCCAGAGCCAAGCCATTGCCAGTCTGAAAGTGGAATCCATCCATGTTCAACCAAACCGGCCTAAAAAGCAATCTTCAGGGCCTCTGAAAACGAGCTACCCATCGACCCTAAGCGTTTTTTTAACGACCCAAACCTGGCTGGAAACCAAAAAGTGTCAGGGCCTATCCAGTTGGGATGGATGAAACCCTATAGATACCAACATAAACCATCTACCAACTGGTGCGAATTGGATTTTGTCCATCCACAGTATCACCACAGAGGACAGGACAGAAGCTATGGGCCTGCTGAAACGTCTGTCTTCCCATGCACCATTTCTTCCCTACTGTGGATGGACGAATTCCTGCACCACCTAAGAAACCCTGGTTTCTGATGATTCCCCAACGTAGATACCATCTTAGGTGGCGCGAGAAGCGAATGGATTTCGCATTTCCATCCACCGTATGGCTCGTCTTTTCGCCACGCCCAGCCCCCCCCCCCACGTCGCTCGTCGCAATCGCTCTGCACCCGGGGCGCGTCATGCCCTTCCGCACGTCCAGCACCACCTGGGCGCCCGCGTCCTTCAGGCGCCCGGCGAACTGCTCCGAGGACCACACCGGCACCGCCTCAGGGGTTCGGCCCGGAGGGTCTGGGGCTCACGGGTCTTGGAGCAAAAAGTGGCACGCAGAAGCGCAGGCCACGCAACAGACATTGCATGGCTGTGGTGGTCAAAACCGTTTTGGATCCCATTTTGGGGAAGGTGAATTCACCGCCCATTTTAGAACCTACTTTAGTGGGGATTGGGATGTTCACTGGGGGTACGGGATTTTGATCCATGGCCACATAGGCCTGCCACTGGTTCACCGGGTTGTCGTTACGCCCCAACAATCTGAGGGCGTGAGAATGTCCAGGTCCACTGACAACAGCTGGCCAACTGTCTATTGGATGTACCTCCATTCGGCTTCCCGATGCAAGGGTTTGGTCTTTGGGTCTCATTGCGGTACCGAGGATTGTTGACATTGCAACCTCGGAGCTGGCAAAAACCCTCTGCTGCGAAATCCTGGACCACCCAGGTAGAAGGCTTTGCCAAGGTGACAACCGGGGTGTTCAAATTTACTTTTCGGGGGTGGAAGGCTCAAAGGACAAGGAAGGCAACTGAGAGGGTGATAAAAGTGAAACCCCGGCCAGAGGAAGCTGTTTGTCAAGTTGGCCTACCGGTGATGTCAAAAACAAGCAGAAGCAAAGGATGTGTGTGTGTGTGTGTGTGCGTGTGTGTCTTTGTTGTTCTGTGTTGCTTCGGGGTGTCCTTTGCTTAAAGGGAAACCAACAGGAAACCTAACAATTTGGGGGGTTCCAACGATTTTGACACAACAAAACGGGCACCGACTTGACAGAAGACCCATGCGCGGACTTCCATGAGGAAATGGAAAAAAAGAAGGAGAAAAAGAGACAAAAAAAGCAACAACGAAAAAACAACAGCAGGTTTGCTGGGTGCCATTTCGCTTGAGTTGAGCTACTTCCACCAGGCCGCCGCCGCGCCTTGTCTTGATCCCCGTGGAACAAGTGCACCAGCGGCAGGCTGGCCACGGCTTTTTTGCCCACCGCCTCGGAGAAAGACATGGGGGGTCTGGGTCCTTCTTGGGGGAGTCGCAATCAAAACCTGGTACTAAAATGGTCTACCCAGAACCATGTAAAGAAATAAGAAGGCGGCCGCAGCAATTTATGTTTGGGATCGTCCCTTACTAACCTTCATCTACCCGGGCTTTGATTGTGGCTCACGTGTTTGGTGGATTTCTAAGGAGGACCAAAGGAAAGCAACCCTTCGGGCAAAAAACAATACAAATTGTTTCTGGAAATGAAGCCTTTGGCAGACCTCAGGTTTACATTGGAATTACGTCCATCCACCAGACCGTTCCAATTTCAAGTTCCCCGCTAACTCAGGCCGCTTGGCTCGTATCCGGCGGATTTGCCCGGGTATCCTAAGTCACCGGGAAAAAAATCATGCCCCCTGGCTACATCTCGTGAGCAACAAGCCGTCGGCAAAGTTGACAGTTTGGGGTGCCGTGTAGACGTGGCCTGCAAAGCTCGAGCAAGGAGACGCGGCCTATCGTTTTGATCAACGACCACTTTGGTAGATCCGAACAATATGCTTGAAGCTGCTTGTTACCTTCCCCACCCAAAATGATGCAGAAAAGTCTGCCCAAACTCGGCAAGTGAGAGCAAAGGGCATTCAAGCCCTGAGGGGATGCGGTCAGAAGTATAGGGTGTTGGCCTGCATCCTGTTCGGACTTCATCTTCCCGACTCTTTGCCTGTTGGAACCACACAAGCAACAACTCTAGGGGACACTTCCCCATTCTTTCCAGGGATCCTTCTTTCTAGAAAGCCACCAAAAAATGTGGGGAAATGGCTGGTGTTTGAAAAGAACGCTGGCTGAAAAGAATGGGGAATCAACCCCTAGAACAACACACAAGCGCAGTGAAGCAATGTTTTATCTTGTAGTTCCCCCTCTGGCAGTCCGCTCCTCCCCAACTGAACCATTTTCATGCCTGACCCACAACTGCAGTTCTTGCCTGCGCGCGGAAATCCTGGTGGAATAACACCACCGACCGGTCCCTGCGAGGACGCATTTCTGCTCAGTGGGCCGTTCCCCCCTCCCTTGCTGAGAACCAGCATGCTGTGGTTGCTATTGAGGCTCCCATTTTTTTCGGCGGCTTCAAGGGAAACCCCATGCCAAGAGCTTCCCTTTGGTCAAAGCTTTCCAAAAATGGGCATGGAAGACAACCATCGCTTACCTGATTGGCTCAAACCAATTGCCCTCTTCCAAGAGAAACCGCCGGACTCGGGCGCCGCCCCGCTTGGGGCCTGCCCCTGTCGCCCCTTTCGCCCCTTGCGCCCCTTTCGCCTGCCAGTCCTTGTTGTGAAGCAGGGCTTCTGGAGAGCAGCCCTCGAGGTCGCCCCCGGTCATGTGCGTCATAATGCCTACGAACTACTTGCGTTGCTTGCGCACTTGGTGGGCTCCGAATCTTGAGAGGGCTTCATCCATCCTGGAGTTTGTCCATCCACGGAACGTCCTCCTTGGTGCTTTTCCCGTAAAGAAATCAGTGAATGGATGCGTGAGTCCGAAACCCAGAAGCAAAGGTAAAAATATAAGACACAAAGGCATACAACATAAGAGATCACATTTGAGCAGAAAGCCGTTCCCTTGGTTGGAAATGCCCCTACCGTCAGTGTCCTTCAATTATCCAGCTTCCAATTGTAGCTCGCATGTTTCGTGCGGAGCGAACAGCAAGGGCCAGGAACAACCAAATACTACTCCCCTGAAACAGAGTTTGAGGCGGGGCATGGTTGTTCTTGCAATGGGGACCAACGCCAGTATCCTGGCTAGTTGCAACAGCCAAATACCACTTGATCATCATATGCAACGCTCACCAAATCCGTCTCCTTTCCGGCCTTGCCCTCTGGAAGAAAAAACATCCTATCAACTTGGGGGTCACCCAAAACCGGCCTCGGTTTTTGCCCCTGTTTTCCATGGCTTGAGGACAAAACTGCCAGGGTAGCATTTCCCGCCTGGGTAGAGGCCTCGCGAGGCTAGGTGAGGTCCAAGCTTCTCCTGCACACCCCGCTCAATGTTGGGTCCGTTTTAAGATCCGCGAAGAGCTTGACCAACTTTTAGAGGCTGAAATTCGGAAATCACTAAACACCAAAAGGCTAAAAAAGCTAAGGAACCGGATGGCTGGGAGCCACCAAGAATGGATCTGGCGAAAGGACATCAACTTCGGCCGGATGTTGAGGGTTATCCCCTTGGGCTTCCATGATCTCAGATTCAGCCCGAGGGTTGCAACAGAAATTTCAATGACTTTCCCCCAACCTCCGAAAAGGGGCTCAGGTGTCCATGTTCCTGCCCTAGGCCCATCCAAAACAGGATTCCTCCTGCTTGAAGATATGCGCCTTCCTCCCACTCACATGGCCGCTGACCAAGCGTCCCTTTTAGAGCAGATGGTTGTTTCCAAGTACCCTCCTACAGTTGCAACTGCTCATGGACAACATCCTGCACCAGTTGCGGAATGATTTCTCCCACTATTTGTAGGTGGCGTTCGACAGCCCGCTCCAGGTGGTACGGGCCAGAGATGCCCAGGAAGCCGCGCAGGTCCTGAAGCGGAAGGATTTGCTCGCTGGATTTCGTTTCGTTTCCGGGGTTGGGGACACCTTAGGTGGATCCCAGTTCCCTTAGGTGGATCCCAGTTCCCTTAGGTGGATCCCAGTTCCCATTGCAACTGATGGGTACAAATCCGAAAACGGCCACAAGAATCGGATCCCGATTATGCACCGAAAACCGCGAGCTCGCTTTATGCCCATGCAGGCGAGCATGGTCAAATACTAACCAGCCATGGTCCTTCTAGCTTTTGAAGGGTGGTTTGCTTGGTGCTGCCATGGCGTCACTTCTGGAAACCTTTTAGGGTACCCGTTTCTGAGGGAAGCCGTCCAAGTGGCATGCACTTCCACTTCAAACATCCACTTGTCTTCCTTTTGATGGGGATCCACAGTGTTTCTCAAGGGATCCAATTCGTTCTGCCAAGGAGCTGAGAGTACTTCGATATTGATGCTGGGGAGCCTTCCAGAAAACCACAACAAAACAGCTGGAAAACCACGACGTGCAGACAACTGGCTGGTTTGAGGAAAAACTCAATGGTTGAAACAAATTGAAGGGTTCCCCATGAAATGTGTTCTCTACGGTGCCTGAAAACTTTGTCCTAAAGCTGCGCATGCGGGAAAACCCAACAGGCCCAGGACCCAGTTCAAATCCACTTGCGATGGCGACTGGAATGGGATTGCTGTGAGGTTTGAATCGGCCACAAGCGACTCAGCCGAGCTTCACCCATGGATCCCCCAGACCGCCAGAGTGGTGCCGGAAGAAAGATGCACCCTGTGTGCTGGAAATTACCCTTCCTCCAACAAACATAGCACCTGGAGGGTACCTGGAAGAAGAGTTTCCTTTTAAGGGAACCCCCTAGGTGTTATGTGGGAGGGAGGACACCACCTCCACAAAAGAAGACGGGCGCCACAAAACGAACGCGCTCCTTGACAGACCAGTTGTCTGCAGGCTCTCCCTGCTTGGCCTCGGCTTTGATCTATGGAATCTATGGGTTGTGGAGCAGGGGACATCTCCAAAATCCGACCCCCCAAAAAATTGGGCGGCTTCCGAAATCGGGCGGCTTCTAACATCAGCGCGTGGTTTCCAAAGTTGGCTTGGCTTCCAAAGGCCTCCTTCTCGACCCTCCCCAAAACGCGGCAAGCGCAGGAGCCCCCCAAACCCAAAATTCGGAGCGAAGGAATCCGGCACTGATCCGGCGCCCGGGTCGGGGGCTCAAGCAAAGCCCTCTTAACTCCAGGCCCTTGGAAGTGACATGCTCGAAGCAAAGGGACATCCCCGCGAAGACATACTCGCCACAAAAGGGCGGCCATTCACAGCTTCGGTCAAGCACAAAAACCAACGGGGCTGTCACAGATATGGGCCAAAGCCTACGTGAAAAGTCGACAAGCCCATGCATGGTTCAAACCAAAAAGGGGGCAAGTCTCCGTGCTTGGAACTACCCCAACTTTGATCTAGCCAGGCTTTGATTGTCTGAGCCAAGCCCTTCTGCTGCCTCTTCGTTGAAAAAGGGACAGGCTGGCTCTCTGTGTGGAAAGCAGGAACATCACCGCTTCAAGTTTTGACATATTCCGTAGAGCATCCAAACAATGATCAAAACGTAAATGGCGTCCTTCAAGCTGGGCTCAAAAAGAAAGAAACACAAAAAACCCTGAAAGCACTCCAAAACCCCTGAAGACCGGCCAAAACCACCTGCACCTCCCCAGAAATCATGACCTCCCCTGAAAGCCCATGAAAGAAACCTGAAAGCCCAAGAAGAAGCCCATGACAATCCCCTGAAAAGCCAGCTTGCCCAAAGGGTCCCTTCATACCTCATGAGGGGTCGTTCAGTACCTCCTTAGAAGGTACCAAGGGACCCGCTGGGCTGCTTTTCCTTCCGATGCGGCGGAAAAAAAATCCGGCCTCCAGAAGGGCGTGCTCCAGCAGCAGCATCGCCGCCAGGTGCGCTCCGGCGCTTTGGCCCATGAGCATCATCTGCGCTTTGGCGACGAAGAGAAATGACCGGCCGGGGGGTGAAAACCGAACCGGGGGCCATTTGGCCATGGGTCAAAAGCCCGCAATTACCCCCAGTGAACATCCCAATCCAACCAAAATAGGTTCTAAAAGGGGTGGTGAATTCACCTACCCCAAAATGGGATCCCATTGGTTTTGACCCACAGACGTTTGGGTGTGCAAAATGAATGTACCAGGAATTGGACCCCAGGTTAGTCCTGGGTTCCATTTTCCAGGGTTCCATTTTGGGTACCCGTTCTTGACCCACAGCCATTTCTGAGGTTTACCAGACCGCCAAAACGGGATTTAGATGCTGCTAAACCACAAACCCAGAGAAACACCCAGAAAACACCCCATGCGCAAGGGCAGCTTCTCACCAAAAAAAAACGCATGCCCGTGCATGTCATCTCACAAACAAAACACCTCATGCCCGCGAGCAACGTCTTCCGGAAAAGGAAAAAGAAGAAACAAGCTGCGCATGGACAGCAGATAAAATAAAAATTAACCCAATGCCCGTGGACAACATCTCACAAACAAAAGCACCGCGCACCCACGGACAACGTCTCCCAGCCAAACCCCTGACCCTTAGTCAGTGAGGCCCTTTGGTTTCTGCCCATTTAAGGGGTGCAAGCATGGCGGTCAGAGCCCTAAAACTCTCGAGGCCTCCTTATTTGTAAGTTCAACTATGGATGCCAAGAGGGATCAGGGCAAATTTGTCTGCACTACTTCCAGGGTGTGGATGGAACGATAATAGCAGAGCAACCAAAAGGACCGCTTCTACAAAAAGCCGAGGCCTTTAAGGGTGGTTTCTACGAGCGGGAAAATGGGGAATGGATTTGGGTGTTTCCAAAAGCTAGTTGGGGCTCAGTTTTGGGAATGAGACATGGAACGACCCCTATAAACCATCCCTTGTGGTTTCCATTCAGGGGACCCCTGGGTTCATTCCTGCATTCCCTATCGCACAGGCAAGAAACCCGGTGTCCCAAAGAAATGGGCTGGTCAAAGGAAGCCACCCTTGCCATGGAGTCTCCCTCTCGCATCGGCCATGGTCCAGCAACCGGCTCTTGAGGGGCTCACTTCTGGAACGGTTTGCGGCAAAACTGCGGACTCCTTATGCCACGGTCCCAGAAACAAATGTTGCTCAAACCGATTTGGACACATGCCCGGTTTGCCAAATCACCCCTGTGCTCCCTGCGCTGTTCTTTTGAGGGCATGTACAGAAATGAAACGACGGAAAGAACACCGCGCACCCGGGTCAATGTTGCTTGTGGTGGACTCTGAACTCGGTGCCGCATTTTGTCCATTCAGCTTCTTCCCCTTGCGCTGACACCCCGCCAAGGTTAAACAGGGAACGCTCATGATGTTGTCAAGGGTGGTACGTGATCATCAACCCACCTGCTCATGTCCCATATCTTGGACGTGGATGGCTCATAAGAAAGCAAAGGGCATAAGAGCCAAAGGTGGAGGAGTCGACCGCTATTCCAACCGCCTATTTGCGCGCGCCGCTCATACCACAAAGAAGATTCAATGAAAACACCACAAAGGACTTTGGGACGTGTCGTCTCACAAGGACTATGCCTCCCTCCCTCACGGGCCTTGGAAGTGTCCCCGCCGTAGCGCTCGATGTTTTGGAAAACCTCACGTTGCCGCGCGCAACTTGCCACCCATGCGCCTAAAAGGGAGCTACTTGGCAAGGCAGACAAGAAGCCACATGCTGATAAACATGAGAAAGTGAGGTGCTCGAAGCTGTTTCCGCGTGTGGGAAATAGTAATTGTGTGATCCCTCCTCATCCTGAAATTCAACAACAACCGCTTGAAAACTACGCCAGCCACCACCACCAACACCACCACCACCACCACCAGCACCGGCGCCGCCGCCGCCACCGCCTACAACGACGACGACCGCGACCACGACCACGACCACCACCCCGACCACCACCACAACCACCACCACCACCACCACCACCACCACCACCACCACCACCGCCACCCCCGCCACCACCACCCCCGCCACCACCACCTGCACCACCTGCACCACCTGCACCACCTGCACCACCTGCACCACAACAACAACAACAACAACAACAACCACGACGACGACGACGACGACGACGACGACGACGACGACGACGACGACGACGACGACGACGACGACGACGACGACAACGACAACGACAACGACAACGACAACGACAACGACAACGACCACAACAACCACAACAACCACAACCACAACGACAACGACAACGACAACGACAACGACCACGACAACAACCACAACAACCACAACAACCACAACAACCACAACAACCACAACAACCACAACAACCACAACAACCACAACAACCACAACAACCACAACAACGACGACAACAACGACAACAACGACAACAAGAAGAAGAAGAAGAAGAAGAAGAAGAAGTAGAAGACAAATAATAACGAGAACCAGAACAAGGACAAGGGCAAGGACAAGCGCAAGGACAAACGCAAGAACAACACAAGCACAAGCACAGCAAGAAGAACACGAACAAGAAGAACAAGAACAAGAGGAACAAGAAGAACAAGAAGAACAAGAAGAAGAAGAAGAAGAACAAGAAGAAGAACAAGAAGAAGAACAACGACAACCGGCTCCCAAGGCTTGTACCCAGCGCACTCCGCGGCCGACGTCTTCTACCATGTCGGGGATGCAGCCCCTGAAGCCGAAGAAGGGCAACATGCTGGGCCTCCTGTTTGGTGAAAAACTCCATCCGCCTGCGTCCCTGTATCTTCATGGTCAAAGCTCCTGTCCTGGTTTTCTTGGAAGCAACCCTTGCAATGGTTCTCAAACCTCCCAAGAAATCAATGGCCACAGCTACCAAGCCCCCAAAAAATGGGGTGCTTTGACACAGGCACCTGTCGAGTTGCATCCAAAAACAGCAAAGTTGCGGGTTGACCATATTTGATTCTGCTGCAACTGCAGACCTGATGATGATGATGATGACGATGATGATGACGATGATGATGATGATGTTGATGATGTTGATGACGATGATGATGATGTTGATGATGATGTTGATGATGTTGATGATATTGATGATGATGATGATGATGATGATGCTCTGCCAACCCGTGTCGACACCGGTGGGGCCTTGGAAAATTACGGTAGTCCACGCCGACGGTCATTACGCCAAAGTCCTCTGCAGAGCTTGCAGTTGGCCCGCTCTCATCAAGACAGTCTGATATTTTGCTGCCGAATTTGTTCGGATCGAGTTGCACTGCACCTGCAATCGGCCCCTTTTTCACTCGGCTTCGGGTCTTCATTGCAGTCCGAGACGAACCCAACCAGCACACACACACACACAGGCACGCAGGCACCTAGGCAGGCAAGCAAGCAGGCATCGGGCCCAAGGCAGACAAAACAAAGTCCAACAGCATGTAAGTATATGAGTATATGTGTGCCTGCGTCCACTGGATTTCAACAGACATGAACAAACAACAAACAACAGGCAGCTTGGACATTGGTGCAGTGCAAAGGATACATCCGAATTAACAGGGCCCAGGTTGCAACATCCACGCTTGGTTTCGAATCACTGCTTGCTTCGTGGGCAGCAAAATCTTAAACACACATATCGCGCCTAAACCTCCCTCGCCGTGTGGGCTTGACGAATCATTGGTGCAGAAACCGAAATTGGGGTTGCCAGTCCTTTCATAGGGGTGCCCATGGAAGCTTGCTTACCTGGTTTTGTTGCGCATGGCCAACCCTTCCGCTACGCAGCACACTTTCAAGCTCGTTTTATGCAAGTCGTGGCCTACGACCAAATGTTGCCATGTAGGCCAAGCCTTCCCTGCACGTCTCTTTTTTTGTTGGACTCCGTTTTTGGGGAAATCGCTTGGGGATTTCCCAAAGGGAAGCCGAAGCAAAGGAAATGGCTTTGGTTGATCCCTTCTTCAGCGCTCCATGAGCCGTAGACCCAGCTGGGCGTTGTAACCCCGGTGGCCAATCATGAAGGCGCCCCCCATGACGGCCACCACCACCTCAGTGCGACCCTCAAAACCGGCCACTTGAAACTTGCCCCGTGTTTCTTCGTTGCGAGGAAGATCGGTCAGCAAGAGGTGCAACGCAAATGTGCCACATTTCGCAGGGCGGGGCTGTTTGAGTCGCCAGCTGAATCCCTTGGTGCTGGGCTGTTCATTGTTCAAAGGCGATCCTTAATCCTCCAGAGTCAATCTGGACCCCAGAATGGCACACACCCTGATCACGAAAAGCGAGTTAGTGGGTGGAATTTCCGAGGCGCCCCTCATAAAGAATCTGGAGCACTTTGAAAGGAAGCGGGCTTGGTGCCCTTTGATTGGTTGGGTTGCAACCTGCTTGGAGTCAACTTCGGAATCAAGGAGGCTATCCCACATGAAACCATGGGGATGAATAGCTCTTGGCCAAAGAGAAGGGCCCGCACAAACGGCCAGCACCCAATCTGATCTGAAGGAAAGACACGTCTTTTGTGGGACAAAACAATACGTGTTCAGTGGCAAACATGTGCAAAGTCTGAAAATACCTAAAACTTGTCCAAGATTGCACTTGTCTCTTCGACGGGACTCATGCCCCAAATGAATGATGCTATTTGTCCCCATCTGGTTCATATGATTTGACTGAACCTTCCGCGGCGCGTTCGCGGCCTGCAGAGCTAGCTTCCGCGAGCGTGGTGGTGGAAAACCAGTTTCACCGATTCACACTTCCGCTTTCACAAGTCTACTGCAACTAGGGGACTAGGGGCATTTTGCTTCCACGGCAGTCTTGGCCTACGCCGAGGCCGCTCGGCCAGCCATCGCTTGCGCGCGCGGCTTGGCTTCCTCCGAGGTTGGGCAGCCCCAGAACGCCTCCGCTTCCGCGCTTCCGCTCCACGCCAAGAAGAAAAGATCCGGCGAGGAGCCCAAAGGCTCGGAGGCCTTCACTCGGCCTTCACTCGGAGTCAGAGCTGGACCCGGAATCCATGGGCATGTTGCCAATGAGCCCGCCCATGCCGAAGCACAGCACGCAGCAGCAGGCCAGGCACGGGAAGAGCGAGATGAAAAGCAGCATCCCTGGCGCATGGCATGCCCATTTTGGCATCCTTTTTATATATTTGGCAGCTGCTTTCCGTGTTTTTTTTTCTTTTCCGAACGCTGGCCATGCGCATCCATTGCCATGGTGTCGAGACTGCAGTGGCACAAACATACGCCCTTACGGGCCCTTCCAAGAGCCGCGAGCAAGAATATTGCACGGCGCCACAGCGAGAGCGCTTCGACGCGGAAGCCTTTCGCGAAGCTGCGGCCATCCGCATTTCCGTACCGTTTGCATACTTGATTGAGGAGTAAAGAAGACGGAACTCAAATAGCGAAAGGATCACCCCTCAAACGCTCTGGCTCACAGTCCCTCACCCTTGTTCCACAAAATGGTCCGCTAAACTTCCTTCTGAGAATCTGTCCTATTTGTATCTCCTATGAGCTGCATCGCAGTGGTGGGAAGTGTCGCATGTGGCATCGTGCTGTGAATTCACTCTTGGCAACGCCTGCCTTCTTATTGTGACCTCGAAGCTCATGGACACCGATAGCAAGCGGCATGCTTTTACACACATCACGCCGTCAATCTAACCCAAAAACAAAGCCTTTAGGCAGGAGAAGAGATCACACCTCCCCATCCCTGAAGCTGAAAAGCCTTCGGACACTCCTCGCATCTCCTTATTGGGACCTGCGCTAGGCGGTTTGCTTTTGGCTTCCTTCCAACAGCATCCAAAAAAAGCCCAAACATGACCCCCAAAAAGGCACCGCCAAGCGCCCGGCTGGCACCTTCCCACCATTCAGCGCTTCCTCGGGCACCTTTCCGGGTGGAGGCAATGAGACCGAAAGCACAGCTGGCCTTTTCGAAAGTCGAGGTCCATGGGAAAATTCGGCAGAACCAACGAGGTTCAAACAGGGTGACCTGCCTCTACAGCCACCGAGCATGTAAGCACTGCCGGGAAAGGGCGTACACCGTTTCTGCTTTTTGTTGGTGTGTGGTGCATTGGCGTGGAAACCATGGAACTTTCTCCCAGAGCCTCACGTGGCTGTCACGTCAGGCTCCGGGCCTCTCTCTTTGGGTGGCCAAAAACCTTTGCTTGGTCCCTGGAACCAGTTTTCACATACCAAGGAAAAATCGACAGGCTTATATACAGGGTTCCTTAAAGGATATGCTTCGGCCCAAATCGAAAATCACCTCTACCAGTTTTTTCAAAGGATTTCTCTACCTTTACCCAGGCGATTTGCTCGGTGGTATTCTTTAAGGGACCCTGTTTCAGGCGCAAAGGACTGACTCAACGCGTCGGGGGGCGTAGATGTCCAGGTATTCCCTCTCCGCAGGCCCGTAGCGGATGCGCCGGTGGATGCGAGGATCGTGGTAGTAGGTCAGCCTCGCAACCAGCGACTTCAAATCCAAAGGTTGTTTCGTGGCCCGTGCAATGCGTGCGGTGATTACAGGGTCGTAGCCTTGGCATCCCGAAGTTTGTCTAGGTCCTCCAGTAGAGAGGTTAGAATAAGGGTACCAACTTTTTCTGCAGCCTATTTTAGCATTGAACCCTCCCCCAAAAAAGGGTAAAAGGGCACTACTGGAGGACCTAGTTGTTCGTTACAAATGTACAAGTAAGCTTTCTGAATTTGAACTCTCATTTTTAGATACCACCTGAGGGGTGCAACCTGCCCATTTGCACCTGACCCCACCAAAGTCAACTCACGGAAACTCACTTGACCCGCAGATGCTGAAATTTACCGCATCACCAGAAACCCAGAGACTCACGAAGAAACCAAAAGCCACAAACCAGACAAGGGAGATTCTTTTTTTGATCCCTAAGTCGAAGGCCTTAAGGCCTGAGGGGCACCCGCCGAGGCAGCCCGACGACCCTCACGAGCAAAAGGGCGCGCTGACCGGAAGTGGTCTCAGGCTTGAACCAAAGATTCTCCGGGCGCCTTTTTGCTTGAGTTGCAGCATGTCGCAGCCTTTTTGGTTGGCTGCTTTGAAGGGAACGCAAAGTGAAGCTGAAGTCCATTTTGGAGAGCCAGTTCCTCTTTTGAGACACACCCTTTCAACATTTGGGCAATATGTCAAAGACATGCGTCGGAGATGAGACAAAGCGATTTGACCCGTTGCTGCCCAAGCGCATGATGCGAACGAAGGCCGGCAGCAACCTCGAGGGGCGCGTCCGATGTTGGACGAGCCCGATAGATGCCATTCCGAAAAATAGGGGGATGTTTCCCAGACCCCCTCTAAAGGGGGGGGGACATCCTCCATTGATCAACCAGGGGTTCATAGATCCTAGGTTCCCATTACTCTTAACAATGGGTGGCTTACTTTCTTCCTCCAACGCCCAACCAATTCTTGTATTTACGCATGTAACCCTGTCGCTCCATCTGTGACATTTTCAAAAACCCTCAACCAAAGACCGGGCTCGTGGATTCGCTTTATTTGGAATCGCCACAAGAGCACAGGGGCAAAGGTCCCTAGTTCCTGGAGCCCACCGCTGGTGGCTTTTCCCTTTCGAATCACTTGGTCGCAACTGAACAATTCTCGGATGCCAAAGCGTGTGGCGCGCAGACTGCGGAGCTGAAAAAGAGCTACGCGATATGCGCTGACACAACCTTAAACATACTACATTGCCTTTTCTGCCACGGTCAGCGTTCTCAGATTTCGCAAGTTGCTGAAGACTGGGCCATGAGTCCGACGTGCCTGTGCACGGGCTCTCGGAGGGCTGTCCATCTCCTTTATCTCCTGCTGCATGTGCGCGATCGTGTCGCGCCGGGGTCCGTGCATCCTCAAAGTCCTGGACGTAGGTTTCCAGCTCCATTTCCACAACAAGATCCCCAAACCAACCGCGAGGCCTCACGAGGCCTGGATTCCATGGGCGCCGCCATGTGCCTCAAGTACCCAGGCAGCCCACGTGTGGGCGATCCTTCTCAGGTCAACCTGAAAGAGTGTCGCCCCCTGAGCTCAACTGTGACTTTACTTTGTCTAGCTCGCCGATTCGCGCCCACACACACATCGTGTGGGCCACGGAGTGAGCATGCTACATGTCAAAGGGTGTTACATGGCTGTGGTGGTCAAAACCGTTTTGGGATCCCATTTTGGGCTAGGTGCACCACCCATTTTAGTCCATCTTAGTGGGGATTGGGATGCCGGAGGTCGACAAAAACTCCACTTGGGAATCTGAGTCTCCGAGGCTTCTTGCGGACGACCTTAAAAAAACGGCTCAAAGCCTCTTTGATGGTTGGGGCAGTTCACTGGGGGAAAAATTAGTTTTGACCCATGGCCACATGTGACGACTCTGCTGCCTCAACGCCTCACCTGCCAACTGCTGGTGGCCAACCAGGCGATCCCCAAAAACTGATGCCAGCCGGATGTCGTCCCAACTCCACTTGAGTCAGAAGGCAAAACCTGGTATTAAAATGGTCGCAATCCCAGAACCATGCTTCAAGAATTCAGAAGCTGGAGATCCGCAGCTATTTTTACGGCAAGGGGGCTGCCCCTTACTAAGCTTCATCTACCCGAATCGGTTTTGAGCACATGGCTCACTTGGGAATTTGGGTTCATCTGAGGCCTCTTGCGGACGACCCTAAAAAAACGGCTCAAACCCTCTTTGGTTGGGGAAGTTCATGACCATCCCAACCGGCCCCCATCCCGACCGACGCAGGAAAAGGAGTGTTCTGACCAGGGGCCTTTCCTTTGGTAGAGTCCTCCCAAAACGCTGTGACACCACTGGAAACCAAATGCTTTCAATTCGATTTTGAATCACCCAAGCAGGGAACCTGTATCTTTTTTAATTAACTCCAGGGGACTTCCCGACAACACCAAAGAACAGCCAACTTCGAGCGGGCGCCAACAACTCGGTCCAACCCGCTCCGACTCCGCACTCCGCGACCTATTGCTGTCGGAGAGGCATCACGGCGTAGAGGCAGAGCCGAAAGCCCAGCCAGCACGCGGCGAAGCCGAACTGGAACCACCTGGCTGTGGGTAAAAAATGGGCACCAAAAATGGGTTGCCCTGGTAAATGGAACCAAGGGGTTCTTGGAACCAAGGACGAAACCCTGCGTTCCAATTCCTGGTGGTTCAATTTTGACCCATACCCACCTCTGGTTCGGGGAATTTGTTGTTGGGCGTGCGCTCAGAGACTTGTCCCCTTTTTTCCAAGGCTACCTTTCCATGTCCATTCTTTCCAGGGATCCGATTTCTAGCAACCTCCGGAAACCGGATCGCGAGAACGGATCCGGTTTCCTGAAAAGAAGGATGGTTGAACAAAGAGTCAGCCCCTGGATTTTTGGTGGTTGCAAACATCACCGTGTTGCCTCAATTCTACTTGCTCTTCCTATAGGAGCGATGTGAGGACATTGCTTCTCTCGCAGCTCCCGAGCGATTGGTTGTGCCGAATTGATGGAAGGAACTCCTTCCCAAACGTCTCATTTTTCCGGGGGCCTTTCATTTCCCGAAAGGTATCACAAGATCCCCTCATTCTCACCGAAAAAGTTGGGCGGCGTGGCGCCAGGTCTGTGCGGCTACAAATGAGGCACCATGTACTCGTTCAGTGTTCCACCCTCAAGCCTATGAACTAAGAGACGAATACGTTTCCGCGGATGGGTACTCCATCCATTCGAATGAAACCACTTGGATGACAAAGTTGGGATCTGAGCAACTGCGTCAAAGCCAAAGTTCCAACATTCTGCAAGTTTCTTCACACGGAGCTGTCCAAGTGGTTGGTTTCCGCCACTTTCCCTGTGAAGCAAGCCGAAAAGCATGCAACCTCCAAAGCAACACCTGCCACATTGCGACCTGAACTCCGAAGACCAAGCTCCACAAGTTGGCCGTTTCCTCTTAGACTCTATGAGTCACGTTGCCAAAACCTGGCACCGCAATTTGGTCTATCCAAACCAATGCGAATTGACAGGGCAAATGTCACACATGTCTGGTTGAGAATGTCTCTTCTCCTTGCCCGGGGATTCGATTGCTCAACTGAGGCCTAGTTTGAACCACGGATGATACACAAAAAGGCACCAGGGATAGGCCGCCTGGGTTGAAACCGTGTCCCCGACAAACCTGTACAAGGGCGGGGGGTTCGTACAGACCTCAACTGCAGTGCCCTCCAACCCTCACCAACAGCATCCGCAGCGTGCGGCCAGTCTTCTTGAGACTACTTTCCTTCGGATCTTGCCTTGAACTCGAATGTCCCAAGTATTTTGTGTGTTGCACATATGTCCCCACAAGTTGGTTCTTTTCCCTCGGATTCCCTTCAAACCAAGCCGGTGCCCCTTCAAAATCCCAAAAGGCGCCAACTCTAACAAAATACATACTCAAACCGCCGTAATGGCCAGGGCTGGTTGCATTTGTTGAAACCAAAAGCAGGCTGCTCAAGCAGCGGCACGGTTTGAGGTGCTGAATGCTCCCTACATGTCCGCTAAAAACATCCACCCCACCGAGAGAAAAAGTTAAGAAACGCATCCCAAAGTGGCAATGAGAAGCTGAGTCACAAGCAAACCCTACAAAAATAGTGATCCCAGAACTATGTAGTCAAAGAATCAGAAAGGATATCCGCCACTTCCGGCATTTCTGGCCCTTACAAACCTTCAATCCGAATCGGTCAGCGATTCCGCTGATGAGTCGAGTCGCCTGACGCTTCGCACCGCCAGGTCCACCGCGTAGACCAAAAAGTTGAAGTGGTCCGTGATGACCTCAAGGAAGTCGATCGAGCCGGCCGGCGGGCCGGGGCCAACGAAGCGGCGAAGCGGCGCAAAAAAAAACGGCACCAACATGGGTTGCCCAATTGGTAAGTGGAAACATGGTTGCCAAAACCTGCGGTTTGCCCCTCCTGTTGCCTGTTGAGCCAAAGTGTCAACCACAAACGAACCGTTCGGGGCCATCCCAAAACCGGAGACTTCAGACAAAAACCTATCCGGTCGTGGTTTCACGAGGTGTGTCACGAGCAAAACCTGCGGATCAAACAAGAGTCCGGTCAAAGAATCGAAAGGTCAAATTTCCGCAAGCAGTCCTGGTTGGGACTGTCCCTTACGAACCTTCGCTTGCCGTGCTTTCGATGGTGACTAAGTGGGACCCCCCTTTTCGTCCCCCGAAACTGACAATGGACCACCAGCAATTTGGTCAGCTTTGCTCAGCAGGGCCCAAAATGGTTGGTGTAAGCTTGCCGCCACGCGATTCCCTACCCGAACGAATTCAGGTGTACATGGGAAAACGTGGGGTTAAGCCTTTACCTACAGAACGAAAATGTATGGGAGCGGTCTCTTTGTTGAAGATCCGCCCTTCCATACATTTCAGCCTTGAGTATGTCGAAAATAGGCTACTTTTAACCATGTTGGTGTTGACATACAGCCATGAACAGATGCAGCGCAAAACCGACATTTTGAGACCTTAACTGATAGGACCTTTGTTGAACCTGCCGCACCACCATTGAGTCTGCCTGAAAGTCAGGAAGCCGGGAAACCCATTTGGATGTGCGTAATTTAATGTAATGTAATGTACTGTAGTCTAGGGTAATGCAATGTAATGTGTAATGTACTGTCATGTGATGTGATGTAAGGTGATGCAATCTAGTGCAATCCAATGTAGTCTCATGTAATCTGATGCGATGCAATGTGATGTAAGGCAAGGTAAAGTGGGAATCAATGTGTATATATATATATATATACATACATATAAACATATATAGAACATTCATGGGACGCATGTCCACTCGCCGCAATGGTACTTCTTTGAACAGAACAAAGATGCAGGGTGAAGTCGTGCTTTCTATGATTGGACCTGAAAAAAGGACAGACTTACCGGTTTTATTCCCAGGCTCGTCTCTTTTCGTCCCCTCCAACTAGATCGGCACTTCCTGAAACCTGCTGCCCGGAACTCAAGATAAGATTGCCCTTTAAACCACCTCATGGCCTTAGCTCCCTGGAGCCTTCACTTTTCTGACCCCCCCCTTTCCTTTTTTGGACCCTCCTCTTTGTCCAAAAAATGAAATGGGAGAAAGGAGAGTAATCTTTCTCTTTTGTTCAAACCAAAAAAATGCGGGGAAAGCCGAAAAGCTCATCCGCCCCACTCCCCCCCCGGCCGGGAAGTTCTGGTAGCCCCAGAACTCCAAGTCGTCGTGGAGGCCCTTGACCTTCGCCCCAATCGTCTGGCTCTCCGCAAAGCCCTGGCGACGCATTGTTCGGTTTGGCAGAGAAGTCGAGACTGCAACTAGGTCCTCCAGCAGAGAGGTTAGAATAAGAGTACCCGATTGTTTTCTGTAGTCTATGTTAGTAGGGGAACCCTCCCAACCAAAAAAGGGGAGAGAAAGGGCACTACTGGGGGACGTAGGCAACATAGGGGCCCAAAACTATCCCCAAAAATGGCGGTCTTCCTTGTGGTGTCCCTTTTGACCAAGGTGAAAAGGTTCGCTCAACAAATACACACCCACGCACCTGTTGATGAGGGTTTGGGGGTTTGGGTGTTGGCTCTAAGCAGTGATCTTATGCTTGAGTGCTTGAGTCCAAAGTTCAATCAGTCAGATTTCCACTGCCACATCGGCCACTGTTGGCTGAAGCCCAGAGTTCTAATTGTCACCTGAAGGGCTGATAGGGCAATGGCAGTCATATGGAACTGGAGACACCAGTGTCGAGTCATTCTGCCACTAGCTGGGCTGTTCAAAATGGAGGCTTGGCCAATCCTAATCCATAATCCCTATAGGAAAGCCACTACAAAGACTACCCCTGCGTAACCCCAAGGATTAAGGATTCCTTTGAAGCCAGACAAAGGCGATTTCGGCACAAAAAATAAATAAATAAATAAATAAATAAAAACTGGCCCCGAAGAACTCCACTCTCATGTCATAACACACCAGTGTCGAGTCATGCCAGGCCATTTCGCACCCCTGCCGTCCATTTCGCTGAAACTCTGCCTCCGGGATCTGCGACTTCTCGCGCTCCGCCTGCGCCTGAACGCCCGGGACGCCCGGCTGATGAGGAACGGAGCTGCCTGTTTTCAGGGCCCTGACGTGCCACATGAACCCCCGAAGTGGGCTCCCGTAAAGTGAGGGCTTTAGAATGAGGGCCTAGAACGCTGATATATTGTGGTTGACTGGATGTGTTTTGTTTTTTTCCCCGAGACTTGGCATCTTGCTGGGTGACACTCTTCATATCCTGTGAATTAAGGACCTTTCAGGTATGTATGTATGTATGTATGTATGTATGTATGTATGTATGTATGTATGTATGTATGTATGTATGTATGTATGTATGTAGGCAGGTAGGTAGGTGGGTACGTACGTATGTATGTATGTATGTATCCGTCCGTACGTACGTACGTATGTATGCCCCCCCCACCGACCCACGGTCGTGGTATCCCCCTTCTTTGTGGTCTGGTTGTGGTGGGGTTGACTTTAGGCTGGCTAAGGGTTGGTTAGTTTAGAGTGAGTTTAGGCTGGGGTTAGAGTTGGCTGAATGGTGTACACTTGGGGTAGTTCTGTTGTTGGGGGGGGATGCTAGCGAACCTGGGACCACTTGAACGGGAAAGTATTTTTTGTAAGGAGTGTATGATAAGGGTAAAAGTTTGGGGCACACCCAAGGGCACGCAGTTATTTCCCTTGACTTTTGACCTCCTTCAATCGTATGGGTGACAAGGGCCATCCAAAAGAATCCCGTGAAAGACTCAGTCCTCATTCGGCTCTGAGGGCCAGTTGGGGGTACCCTCTCGGGCGGCCCTTGAAAGCCATGCGATCTAGGAAACAGGGATCCACGTAAAAGTCTACAAGGCCGGTTTCCTAATAGGAAGAGTCAAAGGGGAACCCCCGCCAAACTACACGTGCAAGCCTCCTGTTGAAGCCCCACGTTTCCGTACTAGGGCGTCCATAGTCGAGCTGTGAAGAGCAGGCCAGCTTGGCGGCTTGCATTTGGAGCTATTTCTTGGGAATGGTGGTTGGCATCAGGCAAACGCTGCAAATCAACATGGAACCCGAAAAGAGGTCTCCAAAAAGAAGATTCCTCTGAACAACTGGGAAACACTTCCACATGCTCACTTGTTCATGAGAGTTGACCGGTATCACAGAGGTGAGAAGCACGCCTGATGCAAGCAATTGGAGATGATAAGTTTTCAGATTTGAGGCACCTGCGCCAAACGGAGTTTTATCCTAAGATGCCAAGCAGTCAGGGCTACAGGGCTTGAAACTTGTTCCGGGCTTCAACCGCATGTCGAACTCGGGGACCCATTGGGAAAACGGTTGGAGGTGCCCCCTCCCCCCCAATTTCAATCTTGGGTTCGTAAACTCAAAGATGGTTTCCACTACCCCCCACACCACTTTGTTCAGAGGACATTTGGGGTACATATCCCATACACTTTTGTGGTGGTTGGCTTCTCCATTCAGCCCGCGGCAGCTTTGGTTTGGGTGGAAGGCATTTGTGGGGCAGCTGACAACGTTGCAACTTCCTTGAATCTGGTAATCATGATCATCAGACTTAGGAATCTCCGTAAAAGACAAACGAGGGGGGAGCAAGACGGAAACAACTTGACAAAATGTGTGAACAAGAAGCTGAACATCTGGGCAAATTGCAATCGTTCACAAGCCTGAAACAAGGAAGCCTCAAGTAAGAGACCGCCATCATGGATGAGCTCGTTATAATTTGCCCAAACACTTAAGCACACATCCATGTTCAAAGTCTCTTCAAACAACGTCTGAGGGTCCCCTCAGATGCTAGCTGAAGCTAAGCGCTACAAAGCCCAGAGCCCAGTTGTCCAAGACTCGCCTAGAAAGCACAACCTGGCCCACTAGGAACAGGCAAGCATGGCCACTAGGACAAGGGCACTGTGGACACACCATGGCTCTGATTTGTGCGGATATTCAGTAAACACACTTGTAAGCCTTGCCTACTCCCGCAGAAAACCACTGGCACCTAAAGAAATGCACTTTTGCTCCCATGACAAACCGACAAAGAACCACAAGACTCACCTGTTCCCAGCCTTTTCTCACCCGGCTCCCCAACCTCTTTGCAAGCGTACCAAACACCTTCATCTGACAGAAACCACACTCTCAAGTTTGGTCGTGTCCAAAACATCTGCGTGCCTAAACCTTGGAGCTGGCCCTTTGGCGCCTTCGGCCAACGGTAAGTTTCATACCTGTGAGCCAACTAGGAGTGCGTTCAACCACTGTGGTTCATGAACTTACGGGCACCTGATGGGACTTTTGTGCAGAGCTGAGCCGCCGGTTTCTGCGGGCGAGTCGACAGAGAGCACCCGCCCTCGCCTTTTCGGTGGGCGACAGCGGTTCAGCCGCATACATCAAGAGCTCCTCGGACTCCTGACCGTCTGACCCGTCCAAGGCCCCCGGTTTGGCTCCACTTGAGTCATAATCAAAACCCGGTATGAAAATGGTCGACCCAGAACCATGTAAAGAATTAAGAAGGCAGCCGCAGCTATTTATGGTTGGGATTGTCGCTTACTAACCTTCATCTACCCGGGCTTTGATTGTGGCTCATTCGGGTGTGTCTTACAATAGACCTAGCTGGTGGGTGTCCAAATTTCCCTTTCAAACAACGCCAAAACAGGTACCCCCAAAAAGGACACACGCCCATGAAGCTGAAGCAGGGTGTTCAAACAGGCAGGTTTTGGTTCGGCGCGGCCATTCGGCCTCCGGCAAGCCTGCAGAGAGCTCGGCTTGTTTGAGAGTCTGCCAATCACTTTTTGAAGCAAAGGTGCCCTGAGGCTAGGTTCAGGGCGGGTTTTATGGTCTTAGGCCCAGGCTTGGGGTTGCTTCAGCGCTGGTTTAGGGGTGGGTTTAGGGATTGGTTTAGGAGGGTGGGTTTTGCGGTGGGTCTAGGGTGGTTTAGGGTGGGGCTGTTTAGGGTAGGATTAGTTTTGGCTTGGGGTTGACCTAGAGCTGGTTTCGGGTGGGTTTAGGGTTGGTTTCAGGTTGATTTAAGGTGGACCTAGGGTTGGTGGTTTGGTTGGTTTACGCCGGCTCAGGGTTGGTGTAGGGCTGTTGCTTTATTCGTGGTTTAGGTTCGTCTAGGGTGCGGTAGATTAGCGTTGATTTGGGCTGGGAGGCTGGGTCAATGAATTGGTTCAGGTTTACCAGGGTCGGTGGGCTGGTTCACGGCTAGGGCTGGTGGGTTTACAGTGGGTTTAGGGCGAGGTTTTACTTTGCTTGGAGTTGGTTTTCTTCGGCTTTGCTTCGGGTTGGCTTAGCCGGTGAGCCTTCGTGTCAACTCACATTGGATGGTTTACATGCTTTGAAGGGGGTGGCGCTTGCCTCTTCGAAACTGGTGAGGATACTTGCAATGTTTTGTTCAAGGTCCCAGACCTTTCAAGAGTTCAAGCCTCGACCCTGGAAAAACCTAAACCTTCTCTCAACCTACCCTTCACAACAAATGCTCTACGCGGGAGTGGTGACACTGTGGATAGCCAAGGCGAAAGGCGCAGGGTGCGTTTTGGACGCTGCACATGTGTGTGTGTTGGGTCCGGGGGGGAGCATTTTGCTGTGGCCCGGGCTGGCAAATTCACGCGTGACAGCCGAGAATTCGTTCGTCGGAATCTGTGTGCAGCCAGCCATGCTTGCCCGACAAGTGCTTTCCATGTTCGGTGCTCGTTTCAGGGTGAAGAGACTGGACATGGAACTGGAATCCAGAAATAATCTTAAGGATTGTCGAACCTGCGTGTTTTTTTTCGGGGTGCCACTTGTTGGCAGGCTTTAAAAGGAAACCAAGAGAAAACCATCCAAGGGGGGGTCTCCTCAGTTGCTACTGGTCCCCATTATTTCCCCTCTCAATATCACCCCACCAAAACGAATGTATTTTTGTCTTCCCAAAAGGTGATGTTTCAAACTGCCTCTTGGGGAAATACATCTGAGCCAAAAACGCGTCCTGGGACACGCTGCGCAGCCTTTGCTGCAGCACCGTATGCAAGCCCGGCGCTGCCTCAGGATGCTTGAAAGCGAAACCAACAGGAAGAACCTCTTTTTAGCGGTCCTCCATCCTCCGTTTTGACCCAATTTAGGCAAACTAACAACAAGAAAATCAACATGTTTGCGGTCGCGTAATTTCACACATACCCAGTTCTCCCCGGAAAAGAAAACTGAAGGATCCGTCTACCCATGTTCTACCCACACTTGGTTTGGTCATTTGGCCATGGGTCAAAAGCCCGTACCCCCAGTGAACATCGCGATCCCCACTAAATAAACTAAAATGGGTGGTGCACCTACCCCAAAATGGGATCCCATTGGTTTTGACAACCACAGCCATTTTAAAAATTTGGAGCAACCGTGGTGTTGAGCAGCAACTCCGCGCAGGTGGCTCATGCATTTCAATCAACACCTGGGCTTCAGTCCTTCTGTGTAACCAACAGAAACGTAACCCGCAATGTAAGCTTCAGCAACGCCTACAAACTGTCCACAAGAAACCGGGCTCCAACTTTACATGTTCCCTTAATAGGGAAAACATGCCTAATGGGCTGTAGCCGACCTTACCCAAGTCTCATGAGCTCAGGATTCTCTGCTGAAGATATCACACCATCCAAAAGGAGACTTGGCCAGTTTTTGGCCAAGAGACCTCCAGTCAGGTTGTATGGCAGCGTGGGCTGGTGTCCTTTTGCTTTCCCTCTAAACACTAGGCCAAAAGGGGATTCGCCCGGACACATTGTTCCCGTTTGCATTCGTTTGCATTCCAAGATAAGAAGTGTGGGGTTTTGCCGGGTGCGGATTTATTTTGTGGTTTCGTTTTTCTCGTTTTGTTGGGGGGACTTATTTTCGTTTTTTGACTTGGCCAAGAAAACGTCGTATTATATAGCATTTTCTCGAAATTGACTATTGTACACCAACCCGTCAACATCCCCAGCATCGTTTTCAGCATCCCTCGCATGTCCGACCAACATCCCCAGCATCACCAACAAATTGTGCGTAAAAAGAATCCAAAAAGTAGCTAGAGGGTTGACGGGCTCGAAAAACAAAAACAGGGTTCAAGTAGAAAGGCATTTCAATCCCTGTGAAAAAACCCAAAAAGTAGCGGGGGGGTTGGGGGCGGCGGCAGCCCCCCCCATGATGTTCGAAGAAGTGATGATTCAAGTAGGGGTGCAATTAAATCTCTGTAGAAATCTAAAAAGTAGACGGGGAGTTGGGGGGGGGCGGCAGCCCCACGCCCCCCCTTGATGTTCGAAGAAGTGATGATTCAAATAAGGGTGCAATTACATCTCTGTACAAAATCTAAGAAGTAGCGGGGGGGTTGCGGGGGGCGGCAGCCCCCCCATGATGTTCGTTCGAAGAAGTGATGATTCAAGTAGGGGTGCAATTAAATCTCTGTAGAAATCGAAAAAAGTAGACGGGGGGTTGATGTTCGAAGAAGTGATGATTCAAAATAGGGGCGCAACTACATCTCTGCACAAAATCTAAGAAGTAGCGGGGGGGTTGGGATCGGCAGCCCGCCCCCATGATGTTCGAAGAAGTGATGATTCAATTAGAGGCGCAATGATTCAAGAAAGGGTGCGATAGAATATAAAAATCAACGGGGGGTTGGCGGGGGTCTTCCCCCTTTCATGTTTGAAGAAGTGCATACACACAGACACACATAGATTACATCGATTGCATAAAATGTCGTACTTTTACAGCATTTTCTCGCAAAATGAGTAGCGGGGTTGTTGGGGGGGGCGGCAGCCCCGCTCGAGGTCAGCAATCCCATCAGCCATTGAGTCATCTTTGACACCTCCTTCCGCTGCATCTAAGGCTTCCTCTTCGGCGCAGCTGTCAAGGTGTCTAGTGCATCGGCGGCTGCCCCAGGTCCTGAGTGAACCGCGACCTTGCCATCACCACCATCAAGCGGGGCCCCTCGCAACCGCGGTAGAAATTGTGAGGCTCATTCGTCCACATTGAGCGTAAGCTGTCGCCGAACCGTGATGCAGGGACCGGTGATGTAGATGCCGTCTTCACGCTTGGTGCGCCCTCCCGGGTCATGGGCAGCAATTGCGCAACCATCCGCCCGGCCATCCGCCCAGAGGAGGGGAAGTCGTCCATGGGCGTCCAGCTCCGGTACGTAGAAGTTCAGGGGTCACTATAGTGGCAGAGTAAGAGCCCACCACATACGTCAACCAACTCAACGCCACGGCCGCGAAGCTGGGATCGCATTGCCGGAGTGATCGCCATGCGTGAAGTACTTCAGCGGCAGCTTGGCCAAGGAAGTGGAAGTTCGCCACGGCCGAGCAGCCGCAAGGCCGGGGAAACCCAGTAGAGGAAAAGGAGAGAATAACCAAACAGGGGGGCCCTCAAACAGGGGGGATCAAATTACCCCAAGAAGGTCGAAATGATCTCCTAGCAGTCCACACCTACGGTGGAACTACAGCACAGAGCAATGGCCAAGTCTGACAAGCATCTGAATAAAGAGAGAAACTCCCGTCAACACCAACGAAAAAGCCAGCACGCTGAGCACCGTCAGAGAACAACAGAATGGAGGCACCTACGGCGGTGCCCCCATCTGAGTGCCCCCAAGCTGTAAAGAAGCCCCCAAGCTCAGGCCACAGTTTTTGGGATCCCGACCTACTGTCTCGCGTGAAGTGCGCTCAAAAAGACGCGCAGCATGTTCTGCCGACGTACATCTGGCACAATCGTAGCAGTGTGACATCTAGGGGGCATGTGAGTCACGGGGGGAGCACGCTGCGCAGTGACGCAAATGGCGCCTCCATGCCCAGGCAGAGAGGCAATATGAGCATCACGCTTAGCGCGCAGGGACTCAATGCGCACAACCTCATCAACAGTACCGGCGATTCCATGCTTGGCAAACGCACCGGCTCTAACTGCAATTTCAGCAGGGGCGGGGCAGAGACAGACGCCATCATGCAACCAGACAAGTGGCTCGAAAGGACCTGTCGCGTACAGCGTAGCGGTGTCCTCAAGGACGGCAACCTTGACCTGCTCCAAAACACGGAAAAGGCGATTACAATCGCTGTGAGCCGTCTCCCACCCCATCTAGACTCAAGCAGGGGAGCCGCGACTTGAACTGCATGGTCAACATCATATAAGAGATTGAGGCGACCAAGCAGCAAGGGGTAGGAGCGGCAGGCTTGCGTGGCCTCGGTAGCTGTTCGAAGAAGTGATGATTCCAATAGGGGTGCAATTAAATCTCTGTACAAAATCTAAGAAGTAGCAGGGGGGTTGGGGGCGGCGGCAGCCCGCCCCCATGATGTTCGAAGAAGTGATGATTCAAGTAGAGGTGCAATGATTCAAGAAAGGGCGCGATAGAATATACAAAGCAGCGGGAGGGTTGGCGGGGGTGGCTTCCCCTTTGATGTTTGAAGAAGCGCATATACAGACATACATAGATTGCATAGACTACAAACATGTCGTATTTTACAGCATTTTCTCGCAAAATTGGATGCTCGGAAAAGTGACGAGTCAAATACGGGTGCAATTAAATCTCTGCAAGACATCCAAAAAGTAGCGGGGGGGGGGGGGGGGGTAAGAGGGAAGAATTGGGCCTATGTGTCGCCCAAGGCCCTGAATAATAGTTTCCCGGGTTCTCCCTGGTCAGTTCCAGGATATTAAAATAGATAAATAAATAAATAAATCAAAAAAAAACAATGATTTTTATTTTATTTTTTAAATTTCTGGAGGCCTCCAAAAATTTAAAATAAATAAATAAAAATCAATTAATTTAAAGCAAAAATCAAATAATTTAATTCTTTATATTCTTTACTTTTTATAAAAATTTCTGGAGGCCTGCAAAAATTTCAAAAAAAATAAACATATAAATAGTTTCGTGGGTTCTCCCTGGGCTAGTTGCAGGATATTTTAAAAAAGTTAAAAAAATCAAATAATTTCAAAAATTCAATTAATTTAAATATTTATATATTTTTACTTTTTTGAAATTTCTGGAGGCCTCCAAAAAAATGTTTTAAAAAAAAATAAAAAATCAAATAATTTAAACAATTCAAATAATTTAAATATTTATATTTTTTTTATTTTTTTCTAAATTTCCGGAGGCCTCCAAAAAAAATTAAAAAAATAATATAAATGGTTTCCTGGGTTCTCCCTGGGCCAGTTCCAGAAATTTATAAAAATTAAAAAAAAAATCAAATAATTTAAACAATTCAAATAATTTAAATATTTATATTTTTTATTTTTTTTAAATTTCTGGAGGCCTCCAAAAATTTAAAAAAAAATAAAAAAATATAAATAGTTTCCTGGGTTCTCCCTGGGCCAGTTCCAGGATATTTAAAAATTTAAAAAATTCAAATAATTGAAAAAAATCAAATAATTTAAATATTTATATTTTTTATTTTTTTTAAATTTCTGGAGGCCTCCAAAAATTTAAAAAAATTACAAAAATAAATAAACATAGTTTCCTGGGTTCTCCCTGGGCCAGTTCCAGGATATTTAAAAAAAAATTAAAAAATTCAAATAATTTAAAAAATTCAATTAATTTAAATATTTATATTTTTTAATTTTTTTTAAATTTCTGGAGGCCTCCAAAAATCTAAAAAAAATAAAAAATATAAATAGTTTCCTGGGTTCTCCCTGGGCCAGTTCCAGGATATTTAAAAAATTTAAAAAAAAATCAAATAATTTAAACAATTCAATTAATTTAAATATTTATATTTTTTAAATTTTTTAAATTTCTGGAGCCTCCAAAAAATTAAGAAAATTAAAAAATATAAATGGTTTCCTGGGTTCTCCCTGGGCCAGTTCCAGGATATTTAAAAATTTAAAAGAATTCAAATAATTTTAAAAATTCAAATAATTTAAATATTTATATTTTTTAATTTTTTTAAATTTCTGGAGGCCTCCAAAAATTTAAAAAAAAATGAAAAAATATAAATAGTTTCCTGGGTTCTCCCTGGGCCAGTTCCAGGATATTTAAAAATTTAAAAAATTCAAATAATTTAAAAATTCAAATAATTTAAATATTTATATTTTTTAATTTTTTTAAATTTCTGG